TAAAACATTTCACTTCAAACACCAGTTAAAAGTTAAACACAGTATGGCAGGCTAGTTTTATTTATGAATAATTTTTAAAACATTATTTTTGAAAATATAGAATATAAACCCTCACAACACAGTGGAATTGATATGGAAAAAATGAGCCCACCAATCACAGTGGGGTTCATATAGGAATAGGTATATGAAACAGCCAGGGCAGTGTGGTTCATAGAGGAATAGGAACCCCATACAGCATGGTAGGGTTCCGAAAGGAATATAGACCCCAAATAGTGCAGAGGGGTTCATAAAGGAATTTGCATATGAACTCCACTCTGCACAATGAGGTTTCATATGAGGTTTAACCCCACTCAGAGCAGTGGGGTTCATACAGGATTATGTGTAAGAACCTCACTGAGGGTTCACAGAGGAATAGGAACCCCGTACAGCACAGTGAGGTTCATAGAGAAATAAGAACCCCACTCAAAGCAACGGGGTTCAAAGAGGAATAGGGACCTTGCCACATTGGGTTCATACAGGAATAGGAACCCACCCAGCCCACTGGGGTTCATAAATGGCATAGGAACTACACACTGTGCAGAGGGGTTCATAGAGGAACATGGATATGAACCATATAGAGCACACTTGGGTTCATAGAGAAATCTGAAACCCCCATAGCAAGCGAGGTTTATGGAAAAACATGTATATGAAGCCCACATGGACAGTGGCTTTCATAGAGGAATGTGAACCCCACACAGTGTAGTGGGTTCATAGAGGAGAAAGAACCCCATAAAGACCAGTGGGGTTCATAGAGGAATATATATGAACCCCACACAGTGCAGTAGGGCTCAGAGGGCCATAGATGCTTCTTATAGAGTAGAGCCTAGAGTAGAGCACAGCACTGCCCACAGCCCAGGTAGTGCAACACCTCCTACCCAGAGGTGCACCCAGTATGCCCAGAGAGGGATGAGTGGCCACATGGCACCCCAATAGGCCCAGAGAGATAGGAGTGCTTACAGTGCTGCCTTCTGCCCAGAGTGGATAGGAACAGCACATAGTGTGATGTGCCCTTCAGAAAGGGATATGTATATGAACCCACCGAGAGCTGTGGGGTTCATATATGGTCCAGTTATTCCTATCCTAGGTATTTACCTGAAGAATATGAAAACACTATTTTGAAAAGATATGTGCACCCTTCTGTTTATTGTAGTGCTATTTATAATAGCCAAGGTATGGAAGGAATCCAAAAACATGGATGATTGAATAAAGAAGTCATGTTATACACTCATACACACACACACACACACACACACGTATACACACACAAACTGGAATATTATTCAACCACAAAAATGAAATCTTGCCATTTGTGACAAAAATGGATGGACCGTCAGGGAATTATGCTAAGTGAAATAAATCAGAGGGGAAAGACAGCTACTGTATGATTTTACTCATTTGTGATATATAAATAAACAAAGCAAACTAACAAAGCAAAATTAAACCTTTGGACTCTGGCACTACAATAGGGGGTAAGTGGGAGGGGGCTGGAACAGGTTGGGGGATTAATTGGTTGGTGGTGGATGGTGACTGAACACTTGGTGGTATTTGTGGTGTGATATATAGTTGCTGAGTTTAGAAACTATATACCTGAAACCAACCTATACAGTATTGTATAATGATGTTACTTTAATAAAAAATATTTTTGAATAAATCTTATAGGTATTCAGTAAACATTAAATATTTTTCTCATAACTGTCCTTCTTGTTTTCATCTCTTGAGTCAACTCTGCTGGTTTCCTTTGTATTGTTCTAGAGATATTTATACAGTTACAAATACATATTCAAGTAATTATTAATAAGTAGCAATTAATGGTCACTAAATGTAATAAATTATATTAACGGATTTCCCATCAGTAAGACAAATCTGTATTCCTAGATTATCTATATTTCTGATTAAGGTAGATTTGAGTATATTTATAAAATTGAATTGCTAGTATTTTATCTTGTATTTTTCCATGTTTATTCATCTGAGAACGTGATTTGAATTTTTGTTTTTGTGGTCTGTCATGATTTGGTATAAAAGTTTTTCTAGTTTTGCAAAATAACGGAGGAAGTATCTTATCTTGCTCTAGTTAGCAGTACCTTAAAAAATAGTAATTTTTTTTTCTTTGAAAGTTTTAAAGAAGTCACCCAGAAAACATCCTCTGAGTCTAATACCTTTCTGGAGACATTCTTTGAAAACCTTTGTGTTTTATCCTGAAGTAATCAATTTTATCAGGCATTTTCTTTCATTTTTTGTGTCAGTTTCAGTAATTTTATGTTTTACTGGAAATTGTTATATCTTACTGGAGTATAAACATGCACCAGCCTACTGTTTTAAAGGACAGTCTTTGCCAATGTTTTACCCAATGTCCCTTGCTCATTTTTTTTTTGTATATTTATAGTCTGTCTGTCTCTCTCTCTTTTTTTAAGATTTATTTATTTATGCATACAAGAACTGGGGTACAGGCCAGAGGTACGGTGGATGAGAATATTCACCAGAGACAGTGGGGAACAGAACAGGCAGAATGACTGAAATACACTGCTGAGGGGAGCAGCAGGTGAGACAGGAGAGGTCTGCTGCACTGTGTGGGTCAACTCCCTGGCCAGGGATTGAACTTGTGCTCCAGTGGCTGAAGATAGCTTTGTAGTGCTACTCCTTGGGCCACTAAGGAGGCCCCTATAGTCTGTCTCTTTTGACATTTCTTTCTTTTCTTTCCTTTTTTTTTTTTTTAAAGAAATAGCAACAAATAGCACTTGGATTTATCAGTTGTACTGTTTCATCTTTTCTGAAATAATGACTTCACACTTAAATATTTACCATAAAGTAGTCAGCCAGGTTCTGTGCTCAACTATTAACACATATCATCTCATTTCCTTGTAACAACCCTCAAAAGTAGGTTCAGTTAATAATCATCAAGTGGTGCATGAGAAAATGGATTCTTTGGGAGGCTAAGTTCCTTCATTACCAAGTGGGGGCAGGGCAGTGAGATCTGCTCCTCTCTCTCTACTTGTAAAAATTCAGTTGTTAATTTTCTGTCCCTGCTTTTCTTCCTTAATTTCTTCCTCGCACTTTCTTGTAGCTGCTTTGCAGTGTTCCTAACTTCTTGAGTTGAATGTTAACTTTTTTTTAAATTTGTTATTAAATCCATTTATAGGTATAAATCTACCTCTAAGTGCTGCTTTATCAACATAAAATGTTTTTTATATGAAATTCTTTTTTTTTAAGATTTATTTATTTATGCATACAAGATCTGGGGTACAGGCCAGAGGTGTGGGGTGGTGGTGAGAGGATTCATCAGAGACAGAGTGGGGAACAGAAAAGGCAGACTGACTGAAATATACTGCTGAGGGGAGCGCAGGTGAGTCAGGAGAGGTCTGCCGCACCATGTGGGAATCTCCCTGGCCAGGGATCGAACTTGCACTGCCGTGGCTGCCAGTAGCTTCATCGGTTGTGTCTTAACCCCTGTGCCACCAGAGAGGCCCTTATATGGAATTCTTAGTGTCACTTTTGCTAGTCTGTAACTGAAACATTTTACCTGAGTTGTTCAGAATTTTCTTTTAAAAATGAGTAAGGATTTTGATGTTATTATGTATTTGTAAATGATATTAATTTATGGTATTGTGATATAAATGTGACATGTACAATTTCTATTTTTGGGGAATTACTGAGTTATCCCCATCCAGTTACTGATGAATCAGGAGTATAAAGGCGTGGCTCTTGAAACCCTGCTTGGAAAGCTCTGAAGGAGTTTTCTGCCTCCAGAGCTCCCTCTGGCGTTGGCTTGTTAGGGGAGGTGCCATTTTCCCTGCCCCCTCTTACATGCAGCCACAGTGGACTGGCTGCTGGGAACTAGAGTCAGAGCTGAGCAGCCAGGTGATGCTGTATAACACAGAAGGCAGGTGGACGGGTCATCTCTTACTTTTCTGGCTTTAACTTGTGCCCAGGGACTTGGGAGGATGTAGAAGAGATGCATGAAGGAGAGACATGTAGAGATATTTGAAAGAGACATGTGGATGAGAGGCATGTGGGAAGGCTCTTCTTGGTAGGGACAATGGCAGTCTTTATCTTGATTTGTACTTATATTTTGTTCCTTTTGTGCCAGATCTGCCTTATCCTTTTCTTGCTGTTCACCACCAGAAGGTGCCTGAGACTGTGGCAAGCTTTCGTGGCCTCAGTGGCCAATCCTGGGTGACTGGGCATTTTCCCACAAGGGGATGGATAATTTGGGGGTTTTATTGGGAAACTATTATTAGAAATATTCTCTCTTCTCTTCCCTCTCTATACACACTAATCCAGTTAAATATCTTTCACACTAAGAGTCTGCTTCTTTTGTCTTTATGAGGCAGATGGCAGGACCCCATTTTAGAGCATGCATCCCGTAAGTTTGGTGCCCCTGGGTACTCTCAGTCAGCACTAACAGGCTGAGGCAGTCCTTAGGCATCAGCTCACCTTTTCCTCCTCCCTTCCTGCTGCTTCCACTCCCTTCCACAGGTATTGACCCCAAGGGCACACAGTAATAAACATTAATGCACACAAAACTCTCTGAGTCTGACTTCTAGGTAACCCAATGTGTGTGTGCGTGTGTGTGTGTGTGTGTGTGTGTGAGAGAGAGAGAGAGAGAGAGAGAGAGAGAGAGAGAAAGAAAGAGAGAGAGAGAGAGAAAGAGAGAGAGAGAGAGAGAGAGAGAATATCAATCCAGGTGGCACTTCAGACAGTCCTGGATTTGGAATAGGCGCAGCCTGCTCCTGCAGCTTTGCTGAGTGTTTCCTGTCTCCCCCCTAGTCATCCTTCTGAGCCCAGGTTCTAGATGTGGAGACCTTAATCTTGAATCCCAGCTTTAAACCACCCACAGATGAAACAACTGATCAAAATATTCACCTCATGCCTCATGTCTGATAGACCATTTGCACTGCCATCTTAGGTGCTCAAAAGCGAAAACATGACTTAGTCCAAAGCAAATGAATTTCAGTGCTTTTATTTGAGATTCATTGTTTGCCTTATATTTTATCATTTAGAATAAACAATTAAAATATGTCACGAAAATAATCAAGCCATCCATCAGAAAAAAAATTATTTTTGTTTTTTTCAAACATGATAGAGTATTATAGGAACACTCACAAAAAAGAAAAAAATCAATACTTCTATATTATAAGTTTCTCCACTTATTTTAATTCCTCTTTTAAATCCATAAATCACTATGTAAAGTAATTATATAATTCAGGATATATATCCTTTTAACAGTTTGGAAATTTGTGATATTTATTTTCAATCAAACCTCTATGAAGATTTCATCTGTACTAAGACTTAATCAGAAAAATAGGCAAAGTAATACCATGATGGAAACTTCAAAATAGTTAATAGAAAGAACAATTAAAGTTTATATATAAAGAAGCGAATCCATTTCATTGATTAGGAACATATGTTGCCTTCTGATCCAGCTAATACACTCTTCTGTCAGCCTAAATTGAAGCAGTGAGTTATCAAGGATCATGCAGTTTGCTCTAAGTATATAATCTGTGTTACATTAAATTACTTATTTAGGGAACTGCTTTCAACATTTGCATTTAAGAAGTCAAGGACTTCTTAAAGTTTCCAGGCATGATCATGGTGCCTACCCACTTGGTCTTTTCCTGTGATACCCACCCGCAGTTATGATCCCAACTGCAACTGAGCAGTTAAATAAGGGCCTGCTATGGGTGGAGGCCCAGATCAGCACCGAGAAGCGAACAAAAGATTAACTTTGCCCGGAGAAGCGTACAATCAAGTTGGTGGTTTTCTTGAGCATAAGCCAGCATGGATTTGCTTAATTTTCTTGTATATCAACAGTAGTGACAAAGATGTCTTTCCAGGGGTAGCATTGGTTTTGACACCCCCTTGAGTTGATAGGAAAAAAAATAGCTCCCATTAACTAATAAAAAATAAAATTTATATGGAATCCAGTATGATAATCTTCAGAGATTGGCATATCCACAGATCAGATTTATAACACAAAATATTTGATCATGTTTCTTGATTATTCATGCACTAAGTTAAAATGTCTCTTAATTAATTAATGTTTCATGTTTTAAGAGTAAAATGTCAGGACATTTTTGTGATTTCCTCTAACTAGTAAGACGGGAGGGAGGTTCTTGGTGAGGATTTCCAACCAGGCCATGTACAGCCAGTCTGAGATAGATCCTTTTCTTGCCACTGGAAGGCTCCTGACAGCACAGAAGAAAAATAAAGAACAAAAGTGATACTTAGTACAGGCAGCACCATCACTAGCTCTCTGAGCTATTTATTAACCAGTGGTCTGAAACTTTTATACCCCTCCCTGCACAGTGACAGCACTGCAATTATGAATATAGGTATTGAACGAATATATTTCTCTGATAACAAATATCTATAAACCAGAAAAGTAGGCTTATGAATTATAGAAGAGAGACAAAGTACTACTATAAATTTTCACCTCTCTTAAATATAAGTGGAAAATTTGATCAATCAATACCCCTTTCCCTATTTTTTGGAGGAAATGATTTTCCCCAATCATTTAAAGCTCTTATAGTTGGGAGAAACCTCAGAGACCAGCTATTTGAACCCTCCCACCCAATTCAGGAGATCATCTAAGCCTCCCACACAGTCTGGTAATCACCTTGCTAGAGAACATATTTATCTTTGTACATAGGAGTCAGTTCATGAGGTAGAAATGTGAAATAGTTGCTTTTCATGTTTAGCTATTAATCCTCAGGTAAAACACACCTCCCTAACATTGTGGGGTAGAGGACAAAGAGCAGCAATGAAAAAGCCTATGGCCTTTCTCCCTAATCTCTTCCCACATGGTGAGTTGGACATGGACACCTTGTGGGCTCCACAGGAGCCCTGATCCAAGTAAGGGGCCCTGGGACCTCAGTGACTGACTTGGGACTCTGTAGGCAGCAAATTCCAGGGTCAGGTTTGTGGGGTGTGGTGTGGAGGAGAAGCCAAGGTTTAGGAGGTGTGTGTCCCTGGCCCTGTGGGTGGCCACATGCCTGGCAGCAAGTCCAAGGGCGACCTTCTAAAGCCCATGGACCCCAGAGATTGGCATTTATTTTCCTTCACTGTGTAAAATCCCACATGTTCCTTTGTTTTTTCTTTAACTTTTCACCTGAATAGTAATAACTTTTTAAATTGAATAACCCATTTACCTAATATTTCTCTGTTATGGTCTTAAGTATCTGCAGTGATACTTACAGGACAATGAGATTAGCAGCTCTTGAGTTTTCCTGTAACAGCTCATTCAGGCGAACTTGGCGGTAACTCTGTGGATGACATTCAGATTTTGTTGGGGCAGGTCTCCCACAATTACAAATGAGAACTTATTTTCTTACTTCAAATTATGGACAACAAGAAAAAATTCATTTTTTTTCAAAGTATGCTTTCCGGTTTGAAAACTAAGTGTTTCGAAATCTCATGAGAAATTTGAGAAATGCAAAGAGCAGGACCTGGGTATCATTGTGTGATAGTGGCTTATTAAATCCTAAGGGGAAAGAATAAGCAATCAAACAACATGCATAGTGGTGAAAGGAAGGCAGAATGGTGGGTTCCAGGCAAGAAAAGTAATCTCATCTTGATACCAATTTGATATCTTAAAAATAGATTACATTTTAGTCTACCTTTTCTTAAGCTCTCTGAATATTTCATCAGCACAGGGGACTGATTTCAAATAAATAGTCACCAAAGACTCACTTGGAAAAGAACAGTAGCGATTGTATGTTACTGTGGTTTTGCAGTGGTGAGCGTAATATTTATTACTGTATTTCACTGGTTTGGAATCCAAGGCTCAGATGTGTGATTTGCTCAATGATCAGTTTTTATTAGAACTAGTTTATTACCCACAGAGTTTATTATTCTTAGCTCAGTATCCTTTTCTGCTAAAGTTAAAAGTATTATAGTATCTCTTGATCTAATTTGTTCCAAACTCTGCTCCGAATGTTATTTACATAAATTCTGTAGTTTAGAGGTTCTTGTGGCCCTTTTGCTTACATGTCTGATTGGATTCAGATACCTGGTCTTCTGTCTAGTTCTCATGTCCCTTCCCTTTTTATTATCCCATCATCACAGCTTCCTTCAGTTAGCTGGATGTGGGTAGCTCGCATCTTTCTGGCTTCTTTGGAAAATCTGACCATACTGTTAGGGGGAAAAGGATGTCCTAGAGCTAATTCCATACAGGTTTTGTAGACTCCACCCCCCACCCCAGGCCAAAGCCAAAGACACTGGGAACTCCAAATCCCATCACCACCAAAGGAAGGTGGCTGGGACCTGAGGGTGGGGTTAAGCAGCCAGGTGTGGTATAAAGCCAGACACGTGGGCTTTGGAGGGGTTCCCCGAGTTTGGCTCCCTGCCAGCTCGAAGCTCTGAGAGTGCCTTTGGGTTTCCAGGTGGGCTGATCGGGTAGGACGCATTAAAGACTTTATTTCCCTATTTTCTCCCTGAGTTGTACATTTTCCTTATTTCCTTTTCCCTTGTAAATAAACCTTTCATTAACCTTTCGTGTGTGCCTGTAGTGGAGTATTAATAAGTCCCTTTTAAGCGCGCGGGTGAGGACCCACAGCCAGGTAACCTGTTTTATTTTATATAGGGGTTGCCCTATAACAATACTACATCCATCCTATTACGCGTGCCCCATCCAACTTTCTTACTCATTGTTTCAATTACGTATTTTTTCAGATCCTTTTGTTAGTTTTCTTAACCATTTTCATTAGGTTAAAGTTCTTTGTTGTGTCAAATTGTGAGTCAGTTTAACTTTATTTACTTTGCACACAAATTGACTTGATTTAAATTGTTGTAGACAGATCTGTCTCCTATTTGAAAGGAGATTTCATAATAAGTATAAATAACCTGTTCTTTTAATTTTTAAAAAGGAATTGGTTTTATGTGAAAATATAAAAAGTTTTAAAATCCTCATATCCAGTAATATGATTGAAAAGCACTTGAAAAATGCAGGAACTCTTGATCTTGAATAATTAAATTCTACAATAGATGCTTTTTTTCTTGATCTTTAAAACAACCGCTGTTTTCTTTTTCTGCTAGTTAGACTGCAAAGTGAAAATTAAGGAAGACAAGTCTTTACCTTTTCTTTGACTGTTTCCAGTTCTGCATCTGTAATTTTCCACGGATTTTCTCTCTTTAATTTCTCAGCAGTTGTTAAATCTTTGCAGCTTTCATGGAGACGATATGGTTCAATCATCTCTTCAAAGACTTTCCAGCTGAAATTGGAATTATAAAGGCGGCCTCACAGTAGGAAACTAACTCATTATTTCACAGATACTCCAGGTATGACTGGCTCTGCTGGCTGCAGAATCAGAGCTAAATGTCATGCAAATATTTTAAGAATTACCTTTGCAGGAGACTAACTGTGAGTAAAACCATGGCTATAGTACTACTTCCTATGCAGGGAAATGTCTTAACATGTGTGAGGCCTTGTTAGCCTACTAGGTATTAGATCCTCAATACAAACACACAACCGCATAAGTGATAATTATTCTGCAAATACATTTCTTCATAGTATAGTCAAAGATACATTTGTAACATAAGTACTTTAGTCTATAAATGAGTTTTCATCTGTTTATTGTACAGACTCCATGGGAGACATTCATGAATGAATGTAGTAGATGAACCTGGGAGTTGGACTGGACTGACCTCCTCAACTTAAGTCCACATGGCAACTCCCACTCATGTCAGGAGGCAGTGGGGAGGTAGAAGGTGAACAGCCAGGTATCCCACAAGTTCAACAGCTATGGAACAGTTTGGATTTTTGCTGCAAATAATGCAGCCTTTGTCCCTCTGACTCTGACATTACTGAGAGATTGCCTGAGATTTCAAATGACTATTGTTCAGGTGCATGTTAGAGGAAAGAAGAAAAATCAATAATATTTCAATGTCTAAAAATCTGAGGGCATTTCAGAGCAATTAAGAAAAAAATCACTGAGCAGAAAAACAGTATCTCAGTGCTGTGGAGCATTTTTAAAAAAAAAAAGTTGAAAAATCGTGTTCTCATCTTAGCTAAGAATCTCTCGTTAGTTTTATATTTTCAAATGATAACCCAAAACAAAGCTTATGATTTATGGCTTCATTGTCTTCAGTATTCTACTGTAAGATGACCTCAAATATATAAGCAATTTTCTTTGTTTTCTTATGATGTAGGTTACTTATAATTTATTAACTTTGGAATGTGTAATAATTAGAATTGATGTACTGTTAGACTAAGAGATAAAAATATGAAGTGATGAGTTCAATGATTCCATTGTTGGGCTGAGTAAGGATTTGCAGATCAAAGTGCAGAGATTTCAAAAGAGTTGGATATCCTTACAAGTGTGCCTCTGTAAAAGGATTGAAGGGATACTTAATGCATTGGATTTCTAATGCATTGATTTATTTAGAATGGTTGACACACGGGAGAGATTGATCCTGATATGTCCTGTTGTTCTTCCAACCACACAATACTTTTATTTGCTAGTTCTTCCAAAAGTGCCATGTCTTCAGGGAACTTTGACAGTGATGAGGGCACTGAAAAGATGCTGCCTGGGGAGAAGAGCCTGGAATTTGCTGTAGCTCTTCCATTGCCCTCCTGGACACAGTTCACCTTGCCTGTGCAAGGGGGTAATGATGGCTGCTTGAGCTGGCATGAGGGTGGGTGACTGGGTGACAGTATTCTGAAAAGTGTGTGGCGTCCTATAAAAGCAAGGCTTTAATTTTATTGAACAATCACAGGACTGGGGTTAGCAATGGAGACTCTGTTTAAGATCTACAATTACTTATTTTTGATTAGGATATGAGTTGAATCTTAGCTCAGGTCTTTCTTAGAATACTTCAAAAATAGTGTCCTTAGAAATGGGAGGTAATCTCATCCGCACCATACTCTGCTGCCCCTTTGTGGTTTGGGTGGGAAGATTCCATTCCCAGCAATGGTCAATCAACAGGATTCTCCTGTCAGTGATTAAGGCCAGATGATTGGTTCCAATCAGGGCAAGCCTGGCCAATGGGCACCTAGAGTTTCATTGATAACAGTGAAAGGCTCAGTGACTTAGATTCCTGTCACCTGAATGGAGTCGAGGAACTGAGTTCAGTGACTGAGAAAGAGACAAATTTTTCTCCCACAGAACATAAATGAGCAAGTAGTAGGTCTTAGTTGTTATTGGAAATCATTTTGTTTTTATAAGTTGTTGGGGTATCCTTAAATAGGGTTAAAATCTAAGCCCCCACCCCTTGCTCAGCAGGAAGGTTTGGGAAGCTCTAATTGATGAAGGGGATTGGGATTGATAAGGTTGCTATGGGAACCAGGCCTTAAGACGTATCACTTTGAGAATGAGGAAGCCGGGTCAGGACACATTTCTGTGTCAAAGGTCAATGCCCAAGACCAGACATCCCAGTACTAACTGGCCCAAACTGATTCCTCAGTCATGAAAAACCTGTGAAAATAAGATGAAGGATGATAGATTGTTGGGAACACCCAGAGAATGAGGAGGTGTGATTAGAGAAGAGGTTCATCAGCTTCCTCAGTGATGGAACAGACAGGATGGGTATGCAGGAGCTGAGACTCATGTGAGAGGAGTTGGGTAGAGAAAACCAGATTGATGGGTCTAGACCAAAGGATATAGGAACAAATTATTCAATCAGCACAGACAGTCCTTAGCTGCTGATAAGATAGACAATAGCAAGAAGAATTCAGCTACAGGAAGTAGGTGACTAGTTTGCACCCAGTATTCAGCCAGGGCTAACAGAAAACCCCCAATCAGTAAGGGATCCTTTAGAAAAGAGGGAATTGCCTATACTCGCAGAGAACTGGCAAGCTCTGGCCTATTGCTAAGTGGTACATTTAAGGGAGTCCCTGGGCCTGCTGTGACCAGCTGGAGTTATGAGATGAGTCCATTTGATCCCATCACTGCTCATGCCAAAAGGCAATGATTTAGGAATTAAAATTCTTCAAATGAAATGTGGAAGACTACTAGAGATTCCTGCATGACAGTGCAGTTCCTATCAGAAAGTTTCACCCCCTTTACCAAGGAGAATTATAAATGTGCTCTTTATTTTTCTCAAGTATTTATAACTAATTCCTGTATTGTAAATATCAGAATGTAAGGCATCAGCAGTATATATGATGTAAAGAAATATTACATAGTAGTAGCCTAGGTCAACCTTGTCAGTTTTAGCCTTGTCACAGTTACAGTGTTTTGTAAGATCATTTTAACTGACTGATAGCTTTGGAAGAATCACAAATATGCTCAAATAACACAAAGGTCAAAGTGATGGTTTGTCTGATTAGATGCATCTTAAATCTGAATGATTTTCAATTAGTTAGTAAGTTCACATAGGATTAGAGTGAATCAAAACAAGGGAGAAGGCAAAAAGACTGCAGGAGTATAAAGTTGCCAGCCTTATGGTCAACAGAAGTGTGGACAGCTAAAACCTAAGCCACCCCAAGACCTCTGTGTTCCTCTGCCATCACACTGGGAGGCCCCCTTCACTCCCAAACAAGTGTATTAAATTGCATCAGATGCTACAAGAAATATGAATTTGGAGATGAAATGTTGAAAATACATTTGCTAAATTAAATCTCTAAGTAGTTTATTTGGTTCACAATTGGCTACATTATCCAGATAATCTTGCACCTTTGAGAACCCCTGTAAAAATCTAATCTACACGTTGTTTGCAAATATGAGGAACTTGACAAATTTAATAGACAGTGAGGAGAAAAATCATGTCATATTTTGAAGCTATTTAGATAATTATTTCAAATTTGTCACTTAATCATTTGGGAGCCAACAGGTTTCCTTGCCAGACATGAGATGGTGTCAGAGTCTAACCCCCTCCCCGCTCCAAGTTCATAGGTTCTAAGTGTTTCATCCTTAGTGCCTTCAAGCTGAAAGTACCTTCAAGCTCAAATCGTTGGTGCTATCATGCACCAAGAAGACACAAACTGTCTCCATATTTTCTCCACCAGAGCTCCCTATTCAGGATGCCCCAACAGCAATTTTAAATAATAAAAACTCACCCTGACAGCTCAGGTCAAAGTGGACTGAACTTGTGTTTCCTGCTGCTATTGCCACCATAGACACCAAGAACAGAAGGGTGATTCTAAAATGCTAGTTAACCTGTATTTCAACAATTCTCATTCCCTCCCTCATCTTTTCCTTCCATTAGAATGTGCTTGATAGCTCTATGTTGTGATTTGCAGTTCCTTTTTATTCTGTAAGAGAATTTTTACAGCACAGACATAACATTTTTACTCTTTTATAATCAACACTAAAGAGAATGAGAGCTGCTACAGGTAAACAATGGATCTTGTTCAATGATATTTCATACCTCTCTTTGTTTGGCTTAATGTTGATGTCACCAATGATATGGATGTCTGCAAATTTTATCCTAAATTTGCTCAGAAGGGAAGCCATTCTGAAAATACAAGAAATACATTAGATATTTAACTATCTTGAGTCAAAGAGTGCGGTGTTTCAGTAAACCCAATCATATCTTATTACAGCTCAGCTTTTAGTCAGCAGCTTGGGTTAGTGTTTGACTTTCATTAATATCCATACATTGTTGGATATGTTAAGTGTGGGCTAAGCTATTCCTGGGAAGGGGAAGAGAAATTCCTGTAGGTGCAGACCATGGAAGTAGCAAATTCAGTTCTGCAGTCACATTTCAGGCAAGATAATATGCAGCTCTCTGTTTCCTTATCATTTGGAAAAAAGAGCATCAGTTTTAATACTTGTTGATGATCATCTTGCTGGTATGTTTTATAGAGTTGCTGACAAACTACCAATTATTCTGTATCATACCATTATATATTGGAGTTTTCTTTTTCACCTGGCAACTGAAAATTTTTCTATAATTTCAAAGTTACAGACAAGTTGCAAGGATAGTGAAAAAAAAAATCCCAGATTTACCAATTGTTTATATTTTGTTCATTTGATTTATCATTCTTATTTTCTCCCTGTCTCTACCTACCCCAGTAATTTTGTCTTTAAATCCACTGTGCCTGAAAGACACTTAAATTTCTTAAAATTGAGCAGCAAAATGATAAACATCCAAATATCCCTGAGCAAAAGTGATATTACTTACGCAATTTTTTCTTCTTCAATGCGGTTAATCTTCCCTCCAACATAGATTCTTAATTTACAGTCTTTCCATTTTTTTCTGAGAGTCAAGATATAGGGGATAAGGAGTGTTAACCCTGAAAAAAGAGTAAATTATGACAGAAAGGATGACTATATCTCACTGGAAGGAAATTAATCGCTTTACATCTGTATTCATCCCAACATTCAGAGCTCCTAAATAATTAAAAATCTTTGGAGAACTGGTTCTTCTTTAACCAGTATAATTTTCAGATACCTCCTTATGCAGTTTGTTAAATTTATCAACATAGAAATTCTGCTCCCTAGTGTATATTCTGGATTTTTTCTTTTTTTACCTCCATCATCAAACAGCCACCAAACATCAATTGTTCCTTTTCCTTGCTTCTTTTTAAATTGGGTGCTGGCTTCCACCAATTTCTGGTTGAACTCCCCAACATGCATGGACTGGATGGTGTTAATGCTGCTGTCTGTAATGAAAGAGAAAGTAATATATTTGTCATTTGAGGAAAGAAACACAATAACTTTCTCTATTTAAGAAAATAGAGAAAGGGTCATGACTTTGCAACTTTCTTTATACTTATAGGTAAATACTGTGCTTATTTCTGTGAAAAGATAAAAGTTGAATCCCTCAGTAGTTTTCATCACTGACCATGGTTAAATAAATTTGATATTGGCTCTGTGATTACAGTTTTCATTACAGAGCAGTGGATTATTTTCAGGTCCTTAATATACTTTCTCAAAGGGGAATTTTCAGTTAGACATGTAACAATGTTAAACTATCTGATACAATAGTCACACTGTCTCAATTTCCCTCCAACTTTCAGATATAACTTAATCCTATTTTCAGATTTACTTGAAAATAGAACATGTGATTGATTTTCTAGATATAAGCAATAGAATCAAAAGTATTTCTTTGTTAGGCAATTTATCCATTTGAGGGTCATTTTGGTGTAAATCCGGTGAATGTCTGGATGACAAAGGCTGCCAGAGATCAGGATTCTCTATGACCTTTTGCTCCTAACGTCAGCCTGGTTTAGTCCTCTTTTCTTTAAAAAAAAAAAAAAGAGTCTTGTAAAACTAAGGTGAAGTTATTGGAGCGATTGAAATCTTTGGGAATGACATGAAAAAGCCAGGAACCATGAAAGACAAAATGCTTTTATTGAGTTAAGGATGCATATAAAATAGTTAAAAAAATTTTTTTACAGCGGTTTCCACACTAACATGACATAATGAAAGTGTCCAGGGAACTAAGCTAGTGTTTGATCAGGATCCTCATTCCTATTTGCCAGGAAGAGTTTCATTGCTACACCTTGTATATTATTTCTCATTTCCACATGTTTGCAAGTTGTGACTTCATCACGTGATTTCAAAGAGGCGGTGTCAGGAAGTGTTTAGAATAGAGCTGACAGCCTCTTCATAGCTGCCTGTCTGATCTAAGAGGTTCTGAAGATGCTTTGTTCTGTTTTCACTATTTCTGTGTTTGGGGTCAGTCAATTCTGAAGCAATTATCTTATATTGTTTCCATCTTCCTAGGACAGCTGAGGGAGAAAGTAAATACAAAAATGAACCAAACTCTGCACCCACTCACAGGCAAATTTAAGCATGTATGAGCGCCTGGAGACAGGGTTGGTTCGCTTCTGGAACTCAAAAGAATTGTCAACCAATGAGCAGTGAAGGGGGCGCACTTTAAAGGTATATTTGAAATGTTAGTTGTTGGAAATAAAACACAACATTATGTTGCTTTTCTGAACAATGAGACATGTTGACTTTCAGAGGAGTACATTTTTTGCCAAAGTATGTGATGCAGAACAGGCTTCCAGAATAAATAACTCCTGTTTTTATTAATAAGAACATTTATATTTCCCTCCTCCCTGTTGCTAGAGAATAGTAGTGATATGACTTCTGATTTTTCTATTGCTTTCTGAATCATACCACTGAATCAAGCAGATTCAACACATAGTTAATTCTTCACACAAATAAACTAAATAAATAGAAAGAAAAGAAGATAGTATTTAGCACCCAGGGAATTTCATTCTAATATTTATATCCTGAAAATCTTGATGAACCACCAACTTTAGATTAAAACACATGGTTTTCCTAGAAAATGTCATTTTAAGGTAAATAATACATAGTACACTCGCCTATACTCCATGGAATAGTCCAGGCACCTGAGGGTTCCTTTGGCATTTGAATGGGGTAAAGTTTGGATTCTCCACCACTCTGTGTAACTATATGAAAATATTATATTACAGGTGAAATTTCATCCTTGGGCTATAGTAGAAAAAGGTCCCTCTTTGAAGCACCTCTTTAAAGAGTTAGCTCTTGTCAACCCAGACCAGAAGCCTGCCACGTCTTAAAATGGATTTTGTTTGACTTGGGGACCATCCTAGAGAAACGGTTTCCCCTGGGCCTCACACCAGTGAATGACTACTTAAACTCCCGAATATTTGTGCATGAAAGAAGTAGAGGTTAATATTCTAATTTTATGCCAGTAGAGGTCGCTGTGGACCTCCAGGACTTAAAACCTGTAGCATTTCTAGAAAGCAATTTTCAAAAAAAAAAAAAAAAAAAAAAAAAATCAGATGTCTGAATCACCAGTTTATAAAACTTTTAACAAGCTCTCTTTCTGTGGTCTTCAGTCCCAGAATGTACACCTGGCATTCAAAGATAAGTGTATGATTCAGCAGAAATCTACCTTCAATTATTACCAAGGACATCTCAAGTCCAGAATCCTGTTTTGTGAGAAAGATGCTTTCTTCAAATTAGAGTACTAGTTGGATTCCCTCCCTTACTTGTACTAGTAAACTTTCAATTTGCTGAAATGTCGGCGAGGTGTGTGTATTTGGTAGTGGTTGGGAGGGGGGGGAGTTCACAAACCAAGTTGGTTACTGGTTCTAAAGATTTCATTTTTTTTTAAAGATTTATTTATTTATGCATACAAAAACTGGGGTGCAGGCCGGGGGTTTAGGGGGTGAGGGAATTCACCAGAGACAGAGTGGGGAGCAATACAGGCAGATCTACTGAAATACACTGCTGAGGGGATCATGTGGGTATCTGGGCCATGTGGGTATCTCTCTGGCCCACCAGGGAATCTAACACATGTTGCAGTGGTGTATGATAGCATGATCATTCTGTGTCTTTAACCCCTGCACCACCAGGGAAGCCCCTGGTTCTTAAGATTTCTATCTCTTTTCCATCTTGATTAACACTTTCCTTTTTTTGAAGGCAAATATTTCTATTTTAAAATAAAATGTGTGCAGCAAGATGGTACAAAGGGCTTAGGCTGTTGATAAAGACAACTCCTTCTCCCTTTTATCCATACCACCACCTCAACAGAATACTCTTCCATCCTTACTAATGCCCCACATCTTACATTTTACATTTTGTATCTTAGCTGCTCACTTCTTAGGTGCTGAATTCTGGACCCAGTATTGATTCATTTTGTTGTCTTTGTAAATTTTAGAAGTACTTACCTTTTTTTGGAATTGGCTTTGTAATGTTCAACTTGCCAGCTTTTTTAAACAAGCCTCGGATGCCTCCACTGCCCTCTTCACATTCATTATCCTTGATAGCGGCTTCCAAAGCCAGCCTCTCCTGTTCTAGTTTCTCTAATTCATCTGATAAAACAAAACAAAAACCACTTAGTGGGTGCATATGCTATAAAATGATTATACAGAACATGATTTTTAAAAATGTATCAGTCAGTTGTAGTCCAAAAGTAACAACTAGCTCAGAAAAACAGCTCTATGTGTTAAGTTATATGAAGTCACTGGGTTTTCGCTTGTGAAAGGAAGGGAGGTCATTTAGTGCCATCTTTATTCACTACTGGTAGGAAAAAAAAAGCCAGATCCATTGTACATATGATGATATACACTAAAAGCCATTGATTTACTGACCTAAGTGACAGGATCAGATATTTTACAACTGGAAGTGACAAAAGTACAGAAGTATGCTGGGTGTATATAAGGTACACAGTGATGCTTCCTGAGTTGAAACATAAAACTGGAGAACAAGAATTAAGGAAAGATAACCAAACCCTCTAATAAACTCCTTGGGCTCCAAATACTAATTACTGTCAAAAACATCCACCAGCAATTACTTTTGATAAGTGAAATACTTTCTGGAAGGGAAGGACCTGCGGTTTTATGTATGGCTGTTGGAGCTGAAATAGCTCAAAGGGGCCTCCCAGCACTTGAGCCTGGAACAAGTCAAACTCTGTAAAATTTCCTGTCTAGGGGTCATCCCCACTATTCAAGTTTTGATGTTGAATCTGGCTGCTTTTTATCTTTTTGGATTATGATTGTAATGAAAAATTCCTAGCTGCTATGTAATATGTTGAATCCTTCTGACCTCAACATGCACTGGATCTGTGTAAATAAGATTTTAAAAGCAGTTATAGGCCAGTGCTAAAGTATGATGGGCATTCTTGCTTACAGCGGGCAAGGGAGATCTCTTGACATATCCACTCATCTTATTACCTGCTGAGAACAGAGCCTTAAAAAAATGAGCCATGTCTGGAGGTGGAGAGTAGAAACCCTAGATTCAGTGTTACAAAACACTGGTCAGGCTTGTGTAAATGTCAACCCTCAGAGCCTGTTGCCTTATCTATCTGGGAAACGAAGCTATACAAACTCTAGATTTATCAATTATGTACTAACTAAATCTGTCAGGACAGTTACATCCCTAGACGGTACTGTTATTCGGCTCTGCAGAATGATCTGGCCCCTTTCCAGGTCTTTGCAATTAATCTTTTGCCAGTGGCATGAGATTTAAGGTCAAATCACCCATGTGATTTCCCCAAAGCTTCAAAGGCTCTCAAGATCAGCGGCTCTAAAAAATATGAGAAATTAGATTGATGGTATTAAAGCTCAGATAAGGATTGTTTACCCCTGACTTTTGAAAGGTGAACACAAGTTGCATTGCCCTGGGGGTCATGACCGGATATAGCTTTGCTGTTGGCTTTATGTGACGTTAGGTGAGACACTTACTTTTCCTATGACTCTGATTTCCTATCCTTTTCTACCTTATAGTTTTGCAAAAAGAATAAACAACTATTTCAACATTTTGGAACTGCTTTGGAGCTTCTTAAAAAACAAAGCAAAGAGTACATTCTACAGGCAGTGCATTTACGCAGCTTCTGGAAATAGACTTAGTCATGCGGAGCAAATTGAGTATTTTTGAGAAGTCTGAGAATTATTTTAGCAGTTACTATTTATCACACATTCTTTGGGGGCCAGGGACTGCTCTGCATATTATTCCTCCCCAAACTGCCCTGAGAGAGTTACTATTATTATCTTTATTTTGTAGATGAAGAAATGGGTTCTGAAGAGTTAAATAAACTTGTCTGATGTCACCTGGCAAGTCATGAGGTTCAAATGCAAAGAGGTCTGCTTGACCCTAAATCCTGTATGTGTCCCGCTATGATGACTTCTTGTTTGGGCTTATTAACATTATGTCATTAACTCCAACTTATCTGATGATCTAAACACTTTCAGGCACATGTTGTAAAGCCAAATGAATTCCCCAAAACTATGGCCTCTCAAACATGTTGTAAAGGAAAGACCCCAAAGACATAAAGTACATATGGTGGGCTACCCACCAGATTTTGTAGTCACAGCCCAGGGCACTCTCCCCTGAGCTATTATCCTTGGGATGTTGCTGACTTAGGGTAACCTGACATCTGGAAGGTGCAGATTTGTGAGTTGCTTTGGGACAGCTGCTTTGGGACAGCTGCGAGTGGGGTGATGTTCCTTGTTTTTCTCTTTTTGGCAGGTTCCAGCATATTCTGAGATTAGCCCCTAGTTGCCTTGATATTTATCCTTTAGTTTGGACAAAGGAGGAAAAAAAATAAATCCTCCTTTGTAACAGAGTTAGCTAATTGAGTGAATCGAAGCTACTCCAACAATCTGCTTGGAAGTATGTACATGTAGCCCATCCTAGAAAGAGAAAAATTGCAAACTTCCAGGTCCAAGACACAAAAGCAGACTTTGCTGGTACAAGTCAGACTCAACATTTGCCTCAGAATATAGAGAAATAGGGCCTCCCCGGTGGCGCAGCGGTTGAGCGCTGGGTTGCGAAGCTGCCTGCAGCCTCTGCAGCGCCGGTTTGCTCCCGGGCTGTTCCCCGGCCACCAGAGGAGGGTCCCACATGGCGCACAGACCTCTCCTGCTGCCCGCTGCTCCCCTCAGCAGTGTACTTTGGTCCTTCTACCTGCTCTGCTCCCCACTCTGGCTCTGGTGAATTCTCTCGCCCTCCTGCGCTTCTGACTGTACCCAGTGCTTATATAAATAAAAATAAATAAATCTTTAAAAAAAAACGAATATAGAGAAATAGAGGTTGATAGAGTTTATTCTAAAATGCTAAAATCTGCTTGCTTGGTCATCTTAGATTTTCAGATCCACGTGGGGGTATGATCACTTGCACAATGATTTTGCAAATTCTCATTAGAGTTAATTATTAATTATTCACTTTGTAGGTGATCTAAGGCCTCCTTCTGTGGACTCCCGCCTTTACTTATTTCAACATTAAGTAGAAGTGATGTTTTGATTATCTGGTCTTCTGAATTATCTATCTGGTATACTGCTCGCTTCTGTTTGCATAGGAAATCAAGAGTAGACTTTGTCAAAACATTTATTTGGACAAGAGTACTGGCTAGCTGACTTGCAAAAGTGTACCATAGCCATGAAGGGGGTAAGCCAAGGGAGTGTCAATGGATAGATATGAACTAATTCCACAAGAACTGACAATAAAAACACCCCATTCCACCACTGCTTTCAACACCACCATCACTTCCACATTGCTAATGTTCAGGAATCATAAAGCCCTTCACACAGTATCATATTTGATCTCAGCACCAATCCTGGGATGCAGGAAGAGACTGTAGGCATCTCCCCATTTTACTGTTCAGGAAACTGGGGTTGAGACAGCTCAAGTGATTGATCCAGGGTTGCACACCCAGTGAGCCAAATCTTCTGCTTTCCATTCTGCTGTTCATCTTTCTTTATTATCCTCCTTCAGTGCCAATGCCCTCACTGCTAATATGTGCCTGTTAAAGGAATACACAACCTGCACTATTTTATTATTCCAGTAATTATTAATGTGAATTGAAAGAATTTTAAGAAGTCTGGATACATGTCTACTTTATTTTCACTAGACTCCTTGAGGGTGGAATTTACATTAGTTTTTATTACCATTTATTGAGAATTTACTTTTTGCCAAGTACAATGCCAAACACTTTGTGGCCATCATACCCTTACATCCAAAACAATTCTATGTGGTAGGTACTATAATTATTGTCATTTCAAAATGTGAAAAGTGAAACAGAGAGGATGAGTAATTTGAGTGAAGTCAATGGAATTAGATAATTCCTCAATATAGCATGCTTTACAAGTCCACACTGCCAGAGAGCGAGAGCGAGAAAGAGAGAGAGAGAAATAGAGAGAATTCTCTATATGTACCCCCAAATATAAAAGGGACAAAGTGTGAATCCTGAGCTATACCTTTGAGCAAACGCCCAAACTGCTTAACAGCGACTACTTTCATACTCTTTATGAACCGGTTGTATGGTAACCAGCTGGAGTGACTACAGTTTGATATTCAGTTTTGTTGTTAAGGCTGCCTCAAATGCCCTTTCCCCTGTCTTTGTTTAGAATGGTGTCTTTTAGAAATAGGCAGGCATCTGCACTTTGCAATTCACTTTGAATCCTAAGGCTGGAGACAGTCAGTGGTCTGACAACAGAAGGGAGAGCAGGGGAACCCACCGAGGCATCACATCCCCTCTTATTTCCCTTTTCCCTGCACCCACCCCCTTTTTTTTTTTTACTAATGATTAAATTATGATTCTTTCCTTGGTCAATCAGTTCAAAGCTGCAAATGCTCACGTGAATCAATGTGCCACCCCCCAAGTGAAGTCTAGCTGAATGGAAGGCAGGAAGCAATCCTGCAGTGGTCGCCCTTGCAATCAAGTAATTATTTACTACACTGCCATCTGTCATTATTTTGCAAAGGCACTCCATCAGACACAGCAGCAGCCCCTGCTCCGAGAAGGCCGTAAATCGTGCAGTACTTACGCACAACACTTAACGCAATATATTGCAGCTCATGTTTCAACACTATTTCCTACCAGTACGATTTGGACTGTTTGTTGTAGTTGGCAAACTTGCTAAATACCCCTGGGAGATGAATAATATGAAATACTGTGGGTTTTTTTTTTTTGTTGTTGTTGTTTGTTTGTTTGTTCGTTCAGGTAATATACGAATTTATTAAGAGAAATGATCAGCCATTGGTACTGGGTGAGTTACTGTAGTATACAAGTTAGAATGTTATGAACATCGATCTTATTTATATAAAAATTTATTCTCCTCACATAAGCCTGTGACACAGTATAGAAATAATTGTCATTAGCTGGTAAATTACCTATAAAGCTGATTTCTGTTCACTGCTTTATTAACTACAGTATATGGGCACTTTGAATTGCTAATATTTCCTTTAAATTATAATCTGTGATGACACTGTGGTGCCTGTGTTGAAAAACTATGATGATAATCATTAACATAGTGTAATGCAATATTTAAGATTTAGTAGGCTCTTATTAAGCCTTATATTACAGCATAATATAATGAAACGTAAGCTTATTTCTTTCAATTCAAAATCTAATATGAGGGTTGTGTTGTAAATCACAGAAACGTCAAAACAATGCATGGGAATGTGCCATAAAGTTAATTTCTATCATTATGCTGTTGTGTTTTTTGCATGTTCTTCATGTATTTGTGTAACTTTTTTTGTTTACCCTAGATAATTGGTACTTATAATTATTTTATTAGCATCCAACTGTATTTTTCCTTTCTTAACTAAGAAGCAGAAATATTTCAAACATCAAAGTAGATTTGAGTCAGATATATCCCTTGGGAAATTAAAAGGGGATGCAGTTCACTGCCAGGATTCGTTCAGGAATACTGCAGAATTTGCTCACTGTGTTGCGTTATAGAATTAAATTGATGATGTATTTTGGTGGATGGAGCAGTGAGGGATGGGAGCATTATTTTCTAGCCATATCACATTTTTCAGCTTGAAGAGATCAAAATAACATAGAAAGTAAATGTGCAATCTAAATACAAATTATATTTTCTTTTTTCAGATGGAAAACAGTTAGACTGATTTGCTTTGGGTTGCCCATACATCTCATCCTCCATATTCCCAGGTTTTCACACCTCTGCTAATGTTCTCCTATCTGCTAGGAATAGAGCTCTCCATACTCTTAGTTTTCTCTCACCCAGCATTGCCTGGTTAACTCCTACTCATCCACGAGGTCTCAAGCCTAAACTCCAGGAAGTCCTCTTGAAGTTTGGGTGTCCCTTTTCTCTTTGTCACATGTGGCATAAAGTTAATTTCTATCATTAAATATGACTATTAATATAACTATCACACCGATAATATCCCCATTTCCATCCCAAGGTTGAGTCTCTTGGAGATAAAGATAGACTCTTATTTGTCCTTATCAACCCAACATCTACACCAATGTGGGTGGTATGCGAGAGAGACCACCTTCAAATATTCTTCTGTTTCTGCTATCAGCAGACTCTATCATATAAAGTTCAGTTAAAGAAACAAGTCATAGATTAGGGTTCTGTCTTAATAGTCCAGTGACTCTTCTTTAGATATGTCCTTTACTCCACTCATAAGAGGGGATGCTTAAACTCCAAGATGAAACAAGGATACCGAATCTACAGGTAAAAGCAGAGTCACTAATCTGAATTAGTGTTTCTGCCTCTGACTTAGATTAGTGATTCACAGTGTGATATATTCAGGCTCATTTCCATGTGAGCTGCAAACTAGATCATAGACTCTTAAAAATAAAACATGGTTTTCCGAGGAAAGAATCCATCTTCATTTTCTGAAACGTCTTGCAGAAACTAATTTGGCAGTTTATTTTACTGAAGGTGTTTATTTTCAGTGAGACTGGCTCTGTGGTTTTGTGATAAGAATTGACACCTGCCCTGAATTACTCTATGTTTCTGGTTATCAGGACAAAGGCCTTTGTGTTAGCAGTGGGGAAAAGACTGAGGGAAAAGACTGGAGTACATGCTCAATACATACTTGTTGATTGAATAATGAAAGTACATACCTTGCACCTGAAGAACCTGAGAGATGTCAAACCCTTGACTGATTCTGACAATGACCACACCAATCTCGAAATCAAATGCATCACTGGAAGCGAAAGCAAAGTGGTTAGTAAGGACAGTGACTCATTTGATCCCCATGCTATGGAGTAATATTAAACGTGCTCTTAGGATTTTAATATAATTAAACTATGAAAACTCACTTCAGAATGTAGGCAAGAGCTTATGCCATTTCTGTTAGGTTTTCTTTTGTCTTTTAAAAATGTTTTCTGGGTGAAAGTTACCAACTCATTTATTCTGGAACCAAATGATTCAAGTCATGTACAGATTAAAATTTTGATTAAGAGCTTGTTACCACTTTAAAAAAAATAATTGATTCCTTTCTATCGTAAACAAAACAATCACTGAAATGATTCGAAGAGTTTCCAGGCTATAAAGAGCCTATGAAATTATCAGCCCAACCCCTGACCCATTGAGGAGTTAGTTCCCAATCAAAAATGGCTCTATTTCCTCTAAGGCGCTTTCAGTATTGACTTTAGACAGAATACTTTTCATCTAGTTTAATTAAAAAAATTAAATTGAAAAATCTGAAGGACAAAGACATGGGGGGATTAATACTCAATATTTTTGCAAACAAACCTATTTGGGGAAAAAGGAACCACCCTAATGTAATTATCCTTCAAAAATGTACCACTAAAGAGCAATTTGGAGCCAAGGACTTATTTTTCTCCTTGTAAGCTACCTTCCTTTGTGAGGCAGCAGAGACCTTCCTCACTAAAGTGAGTTCTCCTCTGCTGGGTGGGACCACTGCCACTTTGACTGCAGTTCACCTGCCCTGTGTCTTTGTGTGGGGACCACAGTGGCTTCTTATGTGGCCCAGTCATTGTCTGAATAGAGGAAATAGAGGCTGCCTTTATGCTAAAAGCAGCCATCTTCTCCTGATAATTAGAGGGGAAAGGATTTTGAATGGACAGTGGAGTGAGCACAGAGTGGTGGCAATCCATTGCTTTGGTCCTGTACTTAGAGATACCCTTAAAGCAAAGTAGGCAGTTAAATCCTATTGTTCCTCTTCCCTCATATCTATATGTATATACAGACACATATAGACTCCAAATTGTTCTTCTGTTTCTCTGGTGTATTGACAAGGGCTCATCCTGATAGAGTGACCAGTGTGTTAGAGAGCAGCGTATTTTCAATCTGGAGAACTAGGAAGACATGGCAAGACTTTTTGATATGGAACATCTATTGATTTTGTCTTAGACAGACAGACTATTTGAAGGAATGCTTTTTCATGACAACCCTATGTAGTTGAGGTTAACTGTTGTGCCTTCTTTATATCAAACTAATGGAATTAGATGATCTAGAAGGGAAAGAAAATTTCTTTTATCCATGTTCTTATAGAATATTTTTTCTCTTGCCCTAAATATGGAACCAAATTGATTATCACTTCAAGTTCATTTAAAATTTTCTCCTTTAGTCTTCAGCAATGCAGCAATGCAGTCTGTCTCACTATATGCAAACAAGTTTCTAATAGCCAAAGTAAACTGAGTTTTCAAACAATATTATAAATAAATTCAGTGTAATGTGAATATTCAGAATTCAAACCATAAGTGATCTTTATATAACAGAATAAATAGGTTCTAACACGAATTGCCAAAAAGGAAATTTCTGATAAATCTTGTTTCCAACTGTTTTTGATTTAAACAAATGAGACAATATATTCCACACACAAAAAAAATGGATTTTGTGTTGGGCAGAATATGGGTCTCCAAAGACCCACCTATATTCTTATCCCTGAAGCCTGTGAATATGTGCCTTTTCATGGCAAAAAGGACTTTGAAGATATGCTTAGGCTAAGGGCCTCGATATTTACAGATATCTGGATTGTCCAGGATGAACCCAGTGTAATCATTTCTTCTTAATAAAAGTAAAACTGGGAGACGCAAGAGGAAGTCAGAGAAAAGTGATATGAAAAGGATTTGAGTCATCATCACTGGCTTTGAAGAGGAAGGAAGGGCCTTGAGCTGTGGGCAGCTTCTAGAAGCCAGAAAAGGCGAAGTCAGGAAGTCTCTCTTAGAATCTCCTGAAGGGATAATGACCCAGCCACCACCTTGATTCTAACCCAGTGAATTAGTGTCAGTCTTCTAGACCATTTAACTCTAAGATAATAAATTTGTGTTGTTTCCAGCTGCTAAGTTTGACATAATTTGTTTTGACCGTCGATTAAAACTAATAAAGATCCTAAATAAAATTATACTATAGTTGGGAATACTACATTTAAAATATATTAAAGATAAATTTTAAAATATTAGTTTATTGTAACAATACCCCTATGTTAATAATAATATAATATTTTATTTTGTCATAAAACAAAAATGTTAGAAAGGGAAATAGAGTATATTACTGTGTTCCTTCAAGATTAACCCCATTACCATGGTAGTAAAGTCATTTAACCTTATAAGTCAGCTAAATTTGATACTAGTACATATTTGAACTATATTATCAGAAACCAATTTTTTATTTTGGTATGAAAGTCAGAAGTCTTCTCCATTCAGAATTACTGTGTTTGGTTATTTTGGTTCCTGTGACTATCTAGAATGTTTGGGATGGCTGGGAACTTGCAAGATGATCCCAGGTTATTTTGCACCAAATAATGAATTCTTTACTGAAGATTTATATATTTCTTCTTTTTAGTTCCACCCTTTCCTCCCCAGAGGTAAAGATGAAATTTTTAGAAGAATCTGGATAACAGAGTAGATATAATCCATTTTCAAGAAGGTCTGTTCAGCAACTGACTGATTCTAAATACATCAACATGTTGTTTGCTGAACCTGGCAAAATTCTGACTCTGATCACCTGGTTTAGTCTTAACCTCTTGAATCTTCTAGCAGGAGCCAGAAGACAGCACATGGCATCCAGGATTGGTATGTTTGGGAAACAAAATTCAGAAGAATGCATTTAATACATAGATTCCCCAGTTAGGAGGACTGTTAAGTGAATTTCTCCTTGATCAGTAATGCATATAATTTCTGAAGATGAACGTTATTGTTTCACACTTCTTTCAATACAATTAATATTTGAGTGCTTTTGTTATGTTGCCTAAATTTCCTGAAGTTGTCATAAATGTGATCACTCTAGCAGGGACCAAAAGACACAGCTTGGTGTATGCATTTTTTTGTTTTTTGAGGATTTCTTTCCTGTGTATTATGGACTTTTAAGTACAGCTAGATCTCTCGGGGCATGTTCTATACCCTGTAGTATAAAATCAGAATCCAGATAGGAAGACTTCCATTTTCAAAATATGCCTACTGGGCATAGTTAATATTGTTCCCCTTGATATAAATCTGGTTAAATATATTCAAATCTGTAAGGAAGGTTTGATTTTCTAGAATGGTCACTGAGACAGCTGTACCACTCAGTATGAAATTTGTTTTCTTTTCTTGAAAAAAAAAAAAGGGAACAACTCAGACAATACTTTGAGGACATCTGCACTTTGGGAGGCAGCGTAGCATTGTGGTTGTGAATTTAAATTTTGAATTTGGATGGTCTTGGGACAGAACTCCAGCTCTGTCACTTAAAAAATTCAGCCATGTTCTGCATTTTACTTAATTTCAATACTCATGTCATTACTTATAAAATGGAACAATTACACTTACTTCAAAGTCTTCTTTGAGAATTAGGTGGGACAATTTAAGTTAAGGATGTTAGCTTGATATATGCTTAGTCCTTCCTTTGAGGACTGCCATTATTACTTCTATTGTAGACTTCCCCAATATTTGGGAATTAGGTGTCACTTGTTATTTAAAATGTACTTTCTGTGCATAAACCAACACTGCTCCATGTCAGACATACTTGTCGTATGGGATTCTCATGTCAGCCAAGGTAGCTCCAAGGTTCTGAGGTAGTGAACACTTTATCCAAGGTTCAGAAGACCATGACTGAACTGGGCACATGATCCACTCCCATTGTTTGGAAACAATCCCTCCCTTACCTAGCAGTCCTTTGCTTTTAATCTTATAAGTAAGTTTTAATGTTGTAACTCTTAATATTTATCTTTTTCCTTGACATCAAATTTCCCCCACCCTGTCTCTGCTCACACTGTGATTCCCTCATATTCTATTATTGGTAGCATTTTTTTTCCACTTTGGTAAAGAATTCAGGGTACCAGGGGAATGTCCTCTTCGCAGGCAATTTAATCTGGTACAACAGCATCAGTTATGTATGGTCCTGGCTGGTACTTTATAAACAAGAACATGTCTTGAAAGCCATCACTTACTGTATGATTCCCAAGTAGTTTTCAATCTCTGTCAGGGGAGCTTTCCTCCAGTTTTTCTTATATCCAATCACCAGAGTGTTTGGCTTCATTCTTCCTAAGCCTGAGGCCTAAACAGAAGAGAGAAACACATGGGCAATCCCTACCCTACCAGGAAACTGCCACCGCAAATGAAAAATAATGTCCAAAAGGGCACCAGAGTAATGTTCTGAAGATTCTGAAGATTAGATTACATTTTAGTGCATGTCCTTCATGCCCGTACCCAAGCATAAAATAGAAAGATTAGTTCTAAATCATCTCAGCCATAAATGGATTTTAGATGACAGAAATGTAGCTTTTCTAAATTAGCAGTCATTTGCATTTCTTCTGACATACTCATTAAAATGGTTCAATAATTTAAAATCAAGTGAGGGTCGGCATAACTGTTGGCATACATGTTGTAACTTAGTGGTTCAAAGCGCATTTCCACCTGTTATATCTATAATGTCATTAGCAATAAAATCCATGTTTGGAAAATTCTTACATACAAGGATGGCTGCAACCTCTCTTTACGTTATTTGTTGAAGAGTAAGTGAGCTATGTTTCTGGAACCTAATCCTCTTACATGACAGTATCATTAATAGCCATCTACTATATCAGGAGTTTCATTCTCCCCATTAGCTGACAGGATATGGCTTCCAGTTAATTAAATTTAATTTGGCAATATTATTGAGTACCTATTAATTGCAAAACGCTGTTAGGTGCTGTAGGAGAGCTGTAAGGCATATTCTTTGGCCTTAAGGACCTTAGAACAAGGTGGAGAAGACAAGATTATACAAATAATTAAATTCAAGTGCAGATGCAACAGGGACTCATATGGAAACACAAAGGAGGAAAACTTGCTTGCCAGCTGAGGATTCATGGCCGGCTTCCTAGAAGAAGAGGCATTTGCAGGCATTTCCTCTGACATCTGGGTCAGAGGAATAGTGAGTGGGGCAGCAGCATGTAGAAGGCAGTCACTGATGGAGGGTTCCAGAAATAAACTTTGCTTCCACCACATTTGAGGCACTGCTCTTGGAAATATACAGGGAGCAGAATAGTTCCTTGGCACTGTCATTTGCCCTTGGCAGATACACAGCATTGTGGATGCTGTCTTTTCTAGGACTATGGCTTGGGAGTATGGTTATTCATCTCATGACTTCTTAGACACAAAGAAGGCGTTACTCAAAGTGATGGAATTGTCAGTGCAGCTCTTTAAAAGCCCTCTGTCCTGCCCTTTTGTCCTAATCCCTCTGCCGCTACTTTTCTTTAAAGAAATTCATGTAAATAAGATGTGTGCATTGTCAAAAGTTTGAACAGTTTCTTCCAGATTAATATAAGAATTGTTTTCTATACGCTTGTCTTTTCTCTCTCTGCTCTATTCTATATCTGTCCTCCCACTCCTAGTTGGAAATTTTATTATTTTCACCAATCTTATATGATAATTTTACATTAAACATGTAACCTTTCCAACGTATTTAACCTAAGAGCTTCTGAAAAGTAACTTACTGCTGAAAGAAAAATCAGTATTTTGTAATGACATCTCCAGCAAATTAATAACAGATGAAAAGAGGCTTGTTGGGGGTAATAGGTCTTTTAAAAATGATTTGTTCGCCTGTGCAGCTACTTTGCAAGTGTTCTCGAGAATATTAGAGAGAGTAATGCATCAAATATTCTTCATCTCCAAAATATACAGTTTAATCAATATTTTTTTTCCTGCCTGCATTAAGCATCAGAATCACCTTGATGCAGTCCTGAATTTTGCTATTCCTGTATAGAATAACTCTGAAAGCTAAATGAATCACTTGTTATCTGTACAATAAGAGCTTTTCAGCCATATTAAGCCAAAGTGATTAGAAGTCAGTCCTACAGTTTCTGAGGTCTCCTGGATTGTACTAAGGATCTTTGGGCAGTCTAAATGATGTAGATGAGAACTAGGGGGAAAGTCTGTGTAGTTCCTATAGAAAGATAAGAAAGGAAAGAATAGCAAGGAAAGTTAGTATGACTGTGGGCATTAGTTAGTGCTGGGCCACAAAGATTATTATATTCATTCAAAATTCTGGAAATATTTCAGTGGATTGGGAGGTTTTATGCCCAGATCACCATGCGTTTATTCCATTGAGTGTAGCAGCTGCCCTTAAAACATTTGCAAAAGAAAAAAGAAAAAGAATGTCTACTTGAGCATCGCTATGTGCAATATGAGATGTAAAAATAGTTTGAAGTTTTAATGGGATCCTGAATGTCGTCAACCATCAGAACAAATTTGCATTTCAATAAGGTTGGGGACAGAATGTATGCTGGTGGCCAAAGGCAAGCTCATTTTCCATTTCCAGTATATCACTCACAGTTCATTGTAACAGAACCTCTCTGCTTTTGTTTTAGCTTGGCCTGTCCCCGGGAATTCAACATGAATTCCTAAACCATCTGCATTGATCTCTGTTGCTGGGCTGCCTAACTGGAGCTATGGCTCGGGGAGTTTCATTAACATGGAGTGCTAATTGTCTTCTGCCTCCTCACTGTCCCCTCAATGCCAGCCTTACCTGAAGGAGACTTCGGACGCCATCCCTGAAACAGTCTGCCGCCACTGCAGCATAAAAAGCCTTGATTTTGTTCTTTATAAGCCAGGCCTGTTTTTTTGCCATGCCACTGTTCATCTCTTTAACACACAGCTTGCGCGGTCCCTGTACAACACGATGAAATATTGGTTAGAAGCCCCACTATTATATATCGTGCTGCTGTTGTTTTCTAAAGGACAAAAATAGCCAGCAATGCCCCATTGAGTGAAGGAACAGGAAAGCAGGGAAAACACCTCATAAACAGGGTTCACGCAGATTCAACCTTTTAGAGAAGACCCGTGCTGCTCACATTATTCATGTTCCACCCAGAATGTCTAGATGTCTCATCACCTGCTTAATTAATTTCCTCATGCCAAATAAAAGAACGAGCTAAGTGAGGCCATCATGGTACAGGAGGAAAATACTGGAAATGTGATTGAAGAAGTGCAGGATAAATACACAATCGATCTTTGCCTCAAGAGAGCCACACTGAGGAACACCTATGAAATCACAGCTAGAGCCCAGTTTTGCGAGCAGCAAACCCTGCCATGGATACCTTGACATTTGTATTAGGTCCATTCATGGCTTTATGTGTGTGGTAAAAATGCCCTAGATTGTCAGAGTACAATTTAGTAAGGTTAAAAACAGCTTCCACTCCTGGCCCAGCAGGCAGGTTTGAAAGGCTGAAATAGATAAGGGAATGATAAGACTGCCTTGGGGAAAAGGCCATAAAACTGACCACATGACCAGAAAAACCAGCCCAGCTATATGAATGCAGAAGCAGAGGCCAGGACATGTTTCTGTGGCAAAGGCCAGTGCAGGAGCCAGACACCCCAGCAGGTAACTGGAGCAAAATGGTGCCCCAAGTTAGAAAGCTCCCCAAAACAGAGTATAAAAGAGAGGCTCAAATCCTCCTGAGGGTGCAGTCCTCTCCCATCTCGTCTGCTACTTCTCTTAGCAGTATATTTCAAAAAATCCACCTGTTCTGTTCTTCACTCTGTCTCTGTTGAATTCTTTTAGCCCTGCACCTCTGGCCTCACACTGATCTTCAATCCACAACATATATTGCCATTGCCTGGGTAGTACTCACATAATTTCACTCAAATAAATGAACATTTCCCTCCCAAAGAATTAGGTGGGAGCAAGTTCACACATCTCTGGTATTGGAAGAATAGAAGAGATTGAGAAGGAGAGAGGTGTTGTGGTAAGAATCATTTCAAAATTCCAAGATTTGAGTTCCACAAACTCATTCTTAACTAAAAATTCTATTATTTCACCTTCCTTAAAGCTAAGTCATTTCATTGCATGTTTCAAATCAAGCTGCAAGGTATTTCTGATTAACTACTATGTGCCTGACAGGGTACAAATCTATTTTTTCCTGGGAAAGTCAACTTATAGCGATATTTGGGATTTTGTTGAATTGTCTTAGATAACACCAGTGTGTAGGCCTGGGCTGGGCTTGCGATTGTGCATTTCTAATGCATTTCTACATCTCTGACTTCATTTCTTTCAAGTGACCCGGAGGCCACTGGTCTCAGACCATGCTTGGGGTAGTATTCTTAGAGGGTTTCTGAAGACAGAGAAAGGGCTTAGGATGTATTAAAAAGGATACCAGGTTTTGTGGTCAGACAGAATGGTTTCAAATCTAAGTTTGGCCAGTTTGGAGGTAATTGTGTCTGAACTTCGGCATGTTTTTCAGAAAATGGGACTCAAATCTCTATTCTGCAAGATTGCTTGAAGTTGTAATGCTAAAGTGTCTGGTATGATATTTGGATTTGGGAGATGTTCATCAATTTATTTTTATTATCATAAATGGGTGCTTACAATCTCATAGAAGCTCTAGACCTAATCCCACCACTGTTTATTCCATAGCAGAGCTGAAAGACCCTGAGCTGGGAGCCAGTGTGGTGGGTGTGTAGCTTTGGCACTGACTAGCTGACTCCCGGGGCATGCCACTGTCCTCTCTTAACATGGGCTCGACATGTATAAAAATTAGATGAATAACCAGTAACTGAAAAAGTATTGGACCATCAGTATGTTGAGTTGGACCACAATGACTATGAACGCCTGGAGAAATTGGCATTTACTTAAATAAGTACAATCTAACATTTGTCTATTAGTTTTACAAAAATCCAGATCAAACATTAATTGTGACAGAGAGATTTACATTAATGCCTACTCTTGCCACATTGAGAAGTCATAAAAATATTTCATATAGAATCTCGCTTCGCTAAAATTGATTATAATACCCCTGTAGCACATTTATTAATGTGAGGCAAGGCTGCAATACAAATGTAGTAAGGAAAAAGCAAACTAACACAAAAGGAAGATATACTGGAAGATAATTTTTCAATATTCAACTATGTCATAGTCATAAAAGTGGATTTTGCCACCCAATTAAACTATTATAGACATTAACTTCGATTAGGATCCAAAATATGAGTACATAATTTAATTCAGGATTTGATGGAAGAAGCTCTAAAAATCTTGTGTATATTATAGCTTTGACATCAATTGAGAAAGGGGAAAGGAATTTCTAATTATTTAGTCTGGAGAAGAAGCTGACGTGATACTCCTTCAAATAAATGAATACTCTGAAAAAGAATTTGCAAGGGAGTTCCATTATCTTTAGGATCAGATAAAGGAATTTGGGCCAAGAGCAGTGTTCTTGCTGACTTTATTTTTCAAAACATTACGAGTCTTATTGCTGTCTTTGTGTTCATTGCTGCTTTGGTTGGAACCTTCGGAAAGAGAATTTCTCCCCTTCTGATTTGGTTCGTATTTCATCTCACCATGCAGTCCAGTGCCCATTCTCAGGTCATTTCACTCTTCCTGAATTTGATCATGGCAACATTTTATTAACATCATGATAGAGACTTGCTGGCTAAAGAATAGATGCATCTAAAAAATGTATTTTCCCCTTGGTGCATGTAAAAGTTGAAGAGGAAGTGGAAGATAGAAGAAAAAAATGAGAATTTTTGTGTTCCCTGGTTTATCTGTGCTTCAACTGCCCCTTCCCTCATAGTGCCATAGAGTTAGGAGATGTTGTTGTTTCTCTGAGTTTTCTTAAATACTTTGAATTCAAAGTGAGTTTTAGGTTTTATTAAGATGTTTTATAAATCTTCAGAAGAACAGAGGAAGGGGAAGAGTGAGGGTCAAATTAAAAAATTTTTAAAAGGGGATCTATAGGAGGTAGTTGGTCAAAAGTTTCCCCATTCTCCTTTGTAATGAGAGGAGAGGACAGGCCAATCAAGATTTAAAGAAAATTAAAGAACAGAAAAACATTAATCAAAATAGAGCTACACATTGGTGCACAGATGTGACCTGACTAGAAGAATAACCTTTAAACTCAGATGACATTGCTATTGGAGAGAGAGAAAGCCATTGCCTAAGTGGTCATAAAAGGGACTTTGGTTTGAATCTATAATAGTTTCACTTAAATACTGAATCTAAACATGCATGACAAGCGTTACGTGTTGTTAATTGGGAGAAAGAGAATGTGGCTGTCATTTCATTTCATTTCATATAGTTGAATCACATAAAATTGCCAGTATTCATCAATTTCTGATCTACAGAAATGTAAATTTCATGACTCAAATATTTTTCTCAGTGTTTCAAAATAATAAAAAATAGTTGTCATTTTCAAACATCAGCACAAAACAAGGTACCAAATAAAAGATGTCACTGTAGACTTGAAATCCTCTTGCAATTTTAAGACAAAATAATTTAGAAAAAAGGCTAGTGGTTTTGTTTTTTTTTTTGAATAATGGCTTTATCTGATTTGTATTCAAATGTTCAGATCCACTAGATCAACTTTCTACCTTTAAAGTATATTTTGGTTTTGTTTGTGTGAAGAAAACATAGGCTGCCTTTAAACACAAAACTGGGAAATGCATGAGTGAGAGATATTAAAAGGATGCTTTCTCGGGCCTCCCCGGTGGTGCAGCGGTTGAGCGCTGGGTTGCGAAGCTGCCCACAGCCTCTGCGGTGCCGGTTCGATCCCTGGCTGCTCCCCGGCCACCGGAGGAGGGTCCCACATGGCGCGCAGACATCTCCTGCCGCATGCTGCTCCCCTCAGCAGTGTGCTTCGGTCCTTTTGCCTGTTCTGCTCCCTGCTCTGGCTCTGGTGAATTCGCTCACCCTCCCGCGCTTCTGACTGTACCCAGTGCTTGTATAAATAAATTAATAATGAATGAATGAATGAATGAATAAATAAATAAATAAATAAATAAATAAATCTTTAAAAAAATTTTAAAAAAAAAGGATGCTTTCTCACATGGGAAAATCAGAATGAGCTGATACCATAAGACTCTTAGAACTGAATTTAGTATATGCAGATAATTAAAAGTGCATCAACCCAAATTAAGTTATCTGCAATCACTGCTTTTATTATCTCTCCAACTACTACCAATGAGTAATTGAAGAAACTGCATGACAAAGACAGTGTTCTTTTATGTCTTGTTACCTGGAGTAGAATGGATGGAAATTACAATCCTTGACTAAATACTTGCTAGTGTCTGTACCCCCTGAACTGGGTTATACTTAGAAATAGGAGGGGGATACAGAAGCTGGTCTCCTATTCTCTTTTTTCTCTCTATGTTGATAGGGATAAAGTACAAAAGAAGAAGAAAGTTACTTGGCATGTTGAATATAAAGCCCCAGAGATATGTATATGGTCATTCAAAGAGGGAAGAATAGTGAATACGTTAAGTTACCCAGTTGGACTCCTTAAGAAGGATCCCCAAAATTGTCTTGATGAAGATTCCTTCATCTGCAGTCTTTAGGCTGCACAGTAAAAAAGGCAAGAAGAGGGAGGAAGAGGATCTGTTGGGGAAGTTGTAATAGAAAGTTGGAAGGTTAGGGTATGGAATCCCAGTAAAAAAATAACTATCTTAATTTTAATATTATGATATCTAGTCATCCTTTTAAAATGCCTCCGTTGCAGGAAATGGCAGCTATAGTCATAAGCTTTTCCCTCTATAGCCACCAGCATCCAGATGCCAGTGAGCTCTGAGTCTGGCTTCTGCCTGCTAGTGCAACAGCACTTCAAGCTAACACTTGAAATAACCGGCCACCAGAGGGATATGCCAGGCCACTGTCCTGTGATGAGCAGAGTAGGAGCACACATCTAAACAGTCTGAAATATCCAAGGTCCCATGTCCAGACCTGGTTTCTCTAAGAAACTGCTTTAGATTTTTGTTGAAGGAGCTATATTTTTGGAATGAAGACAGCACCTACAGTATAGCAAAAATAATGATAATAACTATCAGTGATCACAACTAAAATGAATCAAGCACACTGAGTTGGGTATCTGTAGGTAGCGGTGCCCCAAACTAACAGCATCCCCAGGATGCAAGTCTAGGAAGCTTATCTTACAGAATTCTCACAATAACCCTGGGACATAGGTGCTATTATTATTATTTCCATTTTTATATCTGAGAAAATTGAAGCACAGGAAGACTAAATTATGTGGACTTAGCTAAAAAGTGACATGAGTGATTCAAAACTTGACTGTCTCAAAAGCCCATGAACGCCAGTTTCCATGAGTTAAAAACTACATAGTCGTCTCTTAATATCCCCAGTACTATTTAACCCTTTCTACAAAGTTGGCGTACCACCAACCACTGTGCTTTACGGAAAAAATTTTCTAATAGTGTGCTGACTTCCCCCCAACATCCATCTGTTCTTTTGCAAAGATGACTGACAACTGAGCATGGAGTCAAAAAATACTGACGGTATTTGCAGCCTCAGAAACTCACAGCAAGTAGCTAAGTAGGACGTCATTAACTAATGCAGTAGCTGTTTTCTTTCCCCAAGAGAACTTCAGCTCCTGGGAGCAAGACTCTTGGATCTTACTTGGAGAGACCCCACAGTGATGTATAGAGTGGTCCAATATACCTGTCAAACCAGGGCCATTGAAGGTGCAGTTTTAGGTGCCTACTTCAAATGAAATGATATTGCAGAATCCTATTCTTTTATTGTGGTTAAAGCAGCAAAGGGTTAATTAAAAGCAATATCTCTTGTCTCTATAGAAAGACTTTTCTCCCTTGCCAATATGTGACTGTTTACGCTCCCAGTTCATTTCTCCTGTCCTAAAGATATTTTATTGCCTGCTAAACTAAGTTTTCTCTAAATTGTTAGAGAGGAAAAACTCCCCAAACTGCTTATTCCATCAAAACCAGCTCCTGTATTCTATTGGCCAAAATGAAATCCACTAATCTAGGGCAGCAAAGTTGATAATGTGAGGGAAGGGTGCTTGATAAGATTTTAAAAAATCCTCTAGAGCCACAGCAGGTCATTACTTAACCTGTCAATCTTATGTAGTGAGTAAGATTCACTCCACCCCCTACCAGATAATTGCATTGAGGGATATTATTTGAGTTACTATCATAAAAGCACTGAGAGGAAAGAGACTATGACCAGCTTGCTTCACATAGCATTTAGAGCATTGCCAAGTGTGAAGGATGCTTCAGAGCTGGTCATGAGGCCATGTGGAAAATTAACTCCTGCATCAAAGCTCGGTTGGCCAGCCCCAGGGTTACATGACTTCCTGACAGAAAGTGGAGCTTGTAAACCACCTGATTCTAACAGTGCTCCCACGGGTACATGTGCAGGAGGGCTTCCTCCTCAGGGTGAAGCACAGCACAAAAGGGCAGCCGGCCTCTGCCACTTTCATGTCATTTGACTCTGTGCCATAATTTCATTTAACCAAATCTCATTTTTCCAATTAGGGAAATGAGAACAGGCTGCTTTTCTTTCTTGCCTGACTATACTGTTATGTAGCTGAAATAAGAAAAACTGTAGGAAAATGCTTTGAAGAACAGGTAAGTGCTATAAAAGCACACTGACACCAGCAAGGATTTTGAGTGGGTTATTTCTATGTGTATAGGCCAGTTTGGAGGACTTAGATGTATTATTTTGTTACAATTTTAACATTTTCTCCCTACTTTTAAGATTGGTAATTGGTCGGTAATTATAGTTAATGTGGTGGTGATTCCTGATGAAGAGAATCCTAATGTTACCACAATTAAAAAATAAACTAATTAATTAAAAACGTAATTGTTAAATTTCTAGCATCTGCTTTGAATACCTTCTGGGAAAATCACCAATAAGTCTATCACATACCTCCTGAACAAAAAGGAACTCATTCAGCTCTGAATATTTAAGGCTTGAAAAACTTAGTCTAATTCCCTTGCTATCTGTATGTCATCAAGTTTATCCAAATATTTAATTTAAATTCTATGTGCTGTCATTTAAGGCTATTACGTCTCATTCTCTGCTCATCAGTTCATCTATATAATAGCACTCTCTGGCTCATTCCACCATCTATATTTCTGCAGTCAGTTATCAGCTCAAATGCCTTCATTTTATTTCTGAGCCAGTTCTCTTTTTCTTGACTCAAAGGTCATCCTTTGGAAATATTTATCACTTTTAGTTGGTCTCCTATGAAATCTGAAACACACTTTATTCACTCATTTAAATTCAGAATCACGGGCCTTCGCTAGGCCTCGTTTTATGAATCAAGGAAAAAGACTCTTGTCCAAACTGCTTGTCATCCTCCTATCATATCCTGTACTTGCTCTGCTCACCTAAAACAACTCAAGGTGAACAGAGAGGAAAAAGCACCTTCCTGGGATGAAGCGGCTCTTACCACAAAGACTTCACAGCATATGCAAAGACCACTGTTCTTGGTGAAGGCGTGAGTTATATCCAAAAGCGCAGGTCTTGTCATGGGTCCTCCTGTTAGGACAATGCACTGAGGCCTGGGAGTGGAAAAAAAATGAGAGAGCTGGTCATTGCAGAAAGCCTACATGCCCAGAACCAACCCACTGGACTTGTCAAATATGGACAAATACACCAAGTCTTGGTAAAATGGGACAACAATATTTCTTGAATTTCTCAACAGAAATCTTGAACCCTCCTGCCTGTCCATCTCTGCATTCTCAGTGATGGCAAAAGTGTGAAGTAAGAAAAAGGTGATCTTGGATTTCCACTGCCATTTTTCCCAAATTCCCAACATAAACTGTCCCTCTCCAGTCAGTATTTTCATGCAGCTTTCTCTCATCCTTCTTGCAAACTTGTGTTTTGAGGTTCTATTTAAAATAAGATGACTAATGAAAAACTACAAGTGTAACTTATCCTACAAGAAGGATTCAGTAAGCCACAAACCGTAAGGTGAATATAGACAACACCGATGGTTGAGGTGTGTGGGGATTTGGGAACATCTCTTGGAAATCACATCACTCCCGTCACTTCTCTGTCTCCGTGTGTGGAAGGTGACACACAGTGCAGCACTGTGAGGGTTTACATTTGGGGGTGAGCATAGATCAGAGTTGAAGAGAAGCACTCTTTTCCTGAAGGTGCTGTCATGAACAGGCAGCATTTTGTCTGACTGCCTGTTCTTAGATATATCCACAAAGCATATAACTACTCAAGTGCATTTTTCTCCATAAAGGAAAGCTACTTCCAATGTAGAACAACACCAGGGTGCCTGAGAAGCAGATTTTACCTGAAGTTTTTTACATGGTCTTCCACTGTGGTTAATTCCAGAGCATTGTCTAAAGCACTCACATAGGAGAGAGCCTGTGTGGAGGAGCCCCAGTTGACATCTGTGGACAAAGGAAGAATTTGGCATAAAAAAGCACTGACCTTCCATCTGTATACTGTGAATAATTTTTATAAGTCATTTTCTTCTATTATATTCCTTGGCAGCGCCAGCAGCCATAAGTACCCAAATCAGACAAAAGGTAATGTACGATTTACTAGAAAGATCACTGTGTCTTTCTATAAATACTTTGTGAATTCTTAGATGTGAGACCTGTCTTTGCAGCTAGGGATCCAACTTTATCTTGCTTGTGGTAAATCTTGGTGGAGAAGCTGTGTGATAACCACAGTGCATGTAGATAGACTTGGGACAAATAAATTCAAGAGGCCTTCACAAATTCTTAATTGAAAAGAAGAGGCATTTCTATGCACACAGATAGTCTTCATCAATCTTTATATTTTGAATAATAAATCTGAAGAATTCAGGAATCCTTACTTCTGGGTGTTGATGAAGAGGGTCAACTTTCAAACATTTAAATTTGATCTTTTGAGACTTAATATTTAAAATAAGGGAGGTAAGTGATACCCTTGTTAAACCAACTACATATTGGGTGGAACCTCTAAATTTATGAGAGGAAGTCCTGAACGGAATGTACAGATATGCCCCAGATGGCAGACAGAGCGAGCTTTTCAATCTTGCTTTGGAAAAGTCAGGGAAATGGTGGGAATAATTATCTGGTGGTAAAGAAGATTAATATTAAGTGCTATGAACCAGGCATTTGGCATACCTTAGGTTATTTTATTCTTATAAAGACTCTTCAAGTCAGTTGGATATTTAGACGTAAAAAATGAACCTTGAACCATTCTTCCCACCATATACAATTGTTAACTCAAACTGGATAACAGACATATATTTAAAATCTAAAGCTCAATTAAGACTTTTAGAAAAAAAATGTGAATTTGGATTAGAGAAAGATAGATTAGAAACAAAAAAAAACCTAAACCATAAAAATGATAAAATTGACTAGAAATTAAGAATTCCTGCTCTTTCAAACAAACTGTAAGGAAAATGAAAAGACAAGTCATAGGCCTAGGGAAAAATATTTGCAAAACATGTACCTCTAAAATACTTGCATCCAGAATATATAAAGAATTCTCATGAGGGAATAACAACAAAATAAACAACTCAAAAAATGGTCAAAAGACTTAGACACTTGACTAGTGAAGCTACATTGATAGCAAATAAAATGTCCCATGTCTTCAGTGACAAGACTGTGAAATCCAGACCACCAAAGACAGCCTTCTACATCCATTATTATGGTTTTTTTTAAAAAAACAAAACAAAAAACTGACAACACTAAGTGCTGGCAAGGATGCTGTGCTACCTGGCTCTCATCCATTGCCGGTAGAAACGGAAAATGACAACACAACTGTGAAAAAACAGTTTGGCCATTTCTTATAAAATTGTGTATACACTTATTTTATAATCAGAAGTCCCACTCCTAGATATCCCATTGCTTAAGAGTGGGAATCATAGATGCAAACATAGGTGTACATGAAGTCCTGTATGTGAGTGTTTATAGCAGCTTTACATATAATCACACCAAACTGGAAACAACCCAGATGTCCATCAACTGGTGAATACAGTATATTCTTTTAAAATGCGAAATATTCATACACTGGAATATTTCTAAACAAACAAAAAAGTAGAAAGTAATTAATAGATAGCATCCTATGTAAAGGGAATAATGTATGAAGGCTACATACTATGATTCTGTATACTATTCTGGAAAAGGCAAAGCTGTAGAGACAAGTCAGAAGAGTGATTGCAGCAGCATTAAGATGTTAGGAGGAGACTGAATATACACAAGTGTAAAGGAACTTTTAGGGATGGTGAAATTGTCCTCTATTTTGATTGTGATGATAGTACAAGACTGGATAAGGCTGTACGTCTATAAAGGGTGAATTTTAGCAGGTGCAAATTTTACCTGATATTAAAAAATATAGAAAGTAATAAAAAAAAAAACAACCAACCATCCAGAGTAATTACTATCTTCTCTGCTTTATCCTCAGAGCATGAGTAAGGGGTACATGGAGGTGACTTGGGATCAGTTGGGGCCCTAAAACTGGACAACTCAGTACCACGTTCTGTAATCTTTGTCCTCACCTGGTTTCAATTCACCCTTCTCATTGGTTCTAAAGTCAATATCCAAAGTTTGATCCATTTTGTTTCTCCTGTTGAGCAATCTACAGCAGCTTTTTGTTGCTTACAATATCCAAATACTTCAGCGTGACATTTAAGTTTCTTGTTTATCTGGCCCCAGCCCACCCTTCCAGTCTCACATTTGCTCCTTCTTCTTAGTGCCCAAGAGTGCCATTCTTTTTTTTTAAAGCTTAGGGCTACATTTTTTTTTAAAAGATTTATTTATTTATTTATACAAGCAGTGGGTACAGTTAGAAGCATGGGAGGGTGAGAGAATTCACCAGAGCCAGAGCGGGGAGCAGAGCAGGCAGACTGATGAAGTACACTGCTGAGGGGAGCAGCAGGCGCGGCAGGAGAGGTCTGCACGCCATGTGGGACCCTCGCTGGTGGCCGGATATCTCACCAACACTGCAGAGGCTGTGGGCAGCTTCGCAACCCAGCCCTCAACCTCTAGGCCACCGGGGAGGCCCAAGAGTTCCATTCTTGCTCAAGGCCTTGAACCTTCCCAAATGTACCCTGTGCTTATATGCTTCCAAACTTCATTCATGCTTTTCCTTCTGCCTGGAATATCTTTCTCACTCTATCAGATTGACCAACCCCTAGTCTTTCACATTTTTTTTTTTTTTATTTTTTTATAGAGGCATGCTTTATTTATTTGTTTGCTGGTTTGTTTGTTTGTTTTGTTTATACATGCACTGGGTACAGTCAGAAGCGCGGGAGGGCGAGAGAATTCACCAGAGCCAGAGCGGGGAGCAGAGCAGGTAGAAGGACCGAAGTACACTGCTGAGGGGAGCAGCGGGCGGCAGGAGAGGTCTGCGCGCCATGTGGGACCCTCCTCTGGTGGCCGGGGAGCCGGGGATCGAACCGCGCCGCAGAGGCCGCGCGCAGCTTCGCAACCCAGCGCTCAACCGCTGCGCCACCGGGGAGGCCCTTTCACATTTTTTTTTAAGTAGCTTATTTGATCATTCAAAAAATATTTATTTAAAGTGCCTGCTGAGTGCTTGGTTCTGGGAACAGAAGGAAGAACCAGGAGAGTTTTCTTAGATAACGTTTCGGAGTTAATCACTTCCTCTCTCTTTCTCAGCAATTCCTTCATTTCATTCTCATAGTACTTCTCTATTGTATCATTATGTGTAGGGGCTGTATGTGTGGGTCTGTGAGGGACTATATCTCATTTATCAGGATATCAGAGGTGACATAAAGGAAAACTTAAGGGGCTTGGTATTACATACATTAGTTAAAATGTCAGCTCCATCACACCCTGACTGTTACCTCGGTAAATATTCAACCCTTTGAACTCCAATTACTTCATCTATAGAAACCAAATGTACAGCATTATTGTGAGGATTAAATGTGTGCATGGTCTATAACAGTTATTCAACAAGATGAACTATTGTTAGTATTAGAGTATATCTTATAATAGATAACTTAGCACACCTAGCACAGATAACTTAACACAGAGCACACCGAGACACACAGGAGCTGCTTAATAAAGGTTTGTTGAATGAATGAGTAGTGGAACATATTTTGGAAACCCCCATGTACACAGTCCTTATCTTACCTGGCTTCTTATAAGTCACATAGATATAAAGGAAGAACTCAATGACATAGGTGATGACAGCTGCCCACCAGTTGATGACAAACATAACTGCACAGCACAAAATGGCCCCAAAAAGAGATACCCACATGTTGTAAATCCCATATGCAGGCCTCCATCCTGAAAGTAAAGAAAAAAAAAATCTATGGGTACAAGAAATACTTTCATTGTCGCCATCATACCATTGTATATTTTTAGAATGCAGGTGACAAGTTTCTTCTTCTGGCATAAAAATCAGAGCTTTTAGGTATCAAGTGCCTCTGTTATTAGTTTTCTGTGATTCCTGGGTCCCTGGCCAATAAAGGTGTAATGATACCAAATAAGGATGCTACAGGATGTGCTGTCATTCAGGCCCCCTTCGTACTATCTATCTGCCCCCTGATTGTCTTCCTAAGCTACAGAAACTTGAGCATATGATACCTATTCCATCAGGAGTTGAAAGCAGGCAGGTGGAATGGCAAGAATGGGATCTAATGGGGAGGAGGGGATGGGACTCTGTGGTTCAAGGAAGAGGAGATTAAGACAATAGGTTTATTCAAGTGTTGGAAAGGATTCAGAGAAAAAGGAGCCTAGTACACTGTTGGTGAGAATGTAAACTGGTGCGACCATTTTGGAAAGCAGTGTGGATTTACCTTAAAATAATCATATATCCAAAATATATGCTTCCATTAACACAAAAGCCCATATGGTTTATAATGTTTACAGCATCATTATTTACAATAACCAGGATGATGGGCACAGCCTAAATGTCCATCGATGGATAACTGGCTCCAAAAGTTGTGGTATATCCACACCTGGAGTATTATATAGCTGCAAGAAAGGATCCAAAGCAGCCAATTTCAACAACATGAAGGGAATTTGAATTATGTGTAGCAAAATAAGAAAAATACATTTATATAGCAGGCAATCTGATAATATAAAACCCTTTCTAAAACCAATGGAAATCAAGAAATATCCTGAGGGCTCTGAGGTTAAGAAGGGAGGGAAAAGGACAAATGGAAATATGGGATCATGGTGGGGGGAACAAAGAAGACAATGGATTTATTGTTCTGTGGAGAACACAGAGCAGTCTTCCTGCTAACCCTTCCTTCAACCTCAGAGAATAGACCTTGCCCTTGCAGAAACAGCAATCTATAGGGGAGAGGCAGACGTTTTTCTGCAATGAGTTCTTGAACTTAGTGCTTGAATATATTGTGCATTTTTCAATGAAAATATTTTCAAGAATTATATATATGTGGGGTTTCCCAGGTTCCATTAGTTTGCTGAAATGAAAAAAAGCTGGCTGCCAGTGTGGTCAGGAATGGGAAACTAATTTATTTTTTAATTTTTTGATTTTGTATAACATTTATTTATTTATGCATACATAAATAAAGCTGGGGTATAGGCCAGAGGTGCAGGGGTGGGGGTGAGAGGATTCACCAGAGATAGAGTGGGGAGCAGAATAGGTGAATCTACTGAAATACACTGCTGAGGGGAGCAGCGGGCAAGTCAGGAGAGGTCTGCTGTGCCCTGTGAGTTAGCTCCCTGGCTGGGGATCGAACTCGTGCTGCAGTGGCTGCGGATTGCTTCATAGTGCTGATGCTCAACTCTTTGCACCACCAAGGAGGCCCAGAAACTCCAATTTTTAAAGGGCACATTTGATCTCTGGGTGACATACATTTTAAATTTGGAGTTGCCAAAACACAACAGAGCTCTCAGTTTTCAGGAGCAATTTCCTGAATTACCACAAGATGGAAATAACTCTTCGAGAGAACAGCACTGGAAATGTATTTTTCCTGAAAGTCTATGTCTGTGTGTTGGGGAGGGGTGGATGGGAGGGGGGAGGGATTGGGTTGTGTATATCCATGTATATCCTTTGTGCTTTACTATTTTTTTTACTTCTCTTCCCTTTTCTCTCCTTTTCTACATTTTTTTCCTTGCTCACCTCTATTACTTCACCTTGTTTTTTTTTTTTGTTTTTTTTTAATGGACATAACATGGCATGGAGGCACAGATTTCTATGATTTGCAGATTCTCTGTCTAGAATGTAATGTTCTTTGCTTTAAAAGAAAACAATACAACAGAAGTCCTCAGTTATCTTCTGGAGCCTAGTTGCCTTGCCATCTATATGTTGTCTTATTGGCAACAGATTTTCTAAATGAAGCTTGAGCTCATAGCAGATTCTAAAAGACAGGGAATGTGTTTATGTCTCTGATAAAATTCTTGCAGTGAAGGTCAATAATGGCAAATCTCTATGTTGGGAGAAAGGGATAAGACATTCTATTGGCCAATGGAAACAATGAAAGGTGAGGGGTGACTAGACATGGGGACATTCTTTGGTGTGAAATTTTGTACCATTGTAAACCACAGTTTGAGGAGTACAGGGATGTCACCAGTTTCAACGTGAATCTGCATTGACTGCACTCAGCAGGTAATTATGGGAACTACTCATCCTTCTCTTCTGCACCATGGGCAAGAAACAAATTGATAGTAAGGAAGTTTCAAATATATACATTTATTCCACTTCTGTGGTCACTTTCACCCTGGAAATAAATAGTGGTGTTTTTCTACTGCTGAAATAAATGTGGTTTCTCTTGCAATGAATAATTTATTGCGGCAGGAGAAAATTGACTTTCCGGTTGGTCAAAAAGGCCATTGCTCAAATGACTCTTTTTCTGTTTCAGAAGTCATCCCCCAACTCACCAAAATAAAGTGGATTATACTGCCCACTAGGATATAAGGAAACATATAAACATAGACCGTGTACTTTTCACTGGCTTATTTCATTTTATTGAGACAACTGCTTAGGCTAATTTTAGTCTTGAAAAGTCAACTTACCTGGAGATTTGGCATAAGAGGCATGGAAGCAGGAGAAATTAATAAGTGCGTATGAGGCCAGGAAAAAGTTGGAGATTATGGGAGCAATGGTGTTCAGTTCAGCTGTGAAAGAAGCAGAATTGAGCATGTATGAATGAGAGGTGAGAGGGGGAGCTGAACAGCTGTGATAGCCTGGAAGCTTGACTTTATTTGGAAATTGAAAACATAGCTAGCAGCTGTCAAAGTTTACAAAGTTGGTGATTTTTCTTTGGGGCTGCTTTCATTTCAAAATATATTTTTAGCCAGAGCTTCCATGAGGTAAGAAACAAGAAAAACCACAAATCAGACATAGATAGAGCTCTGCCTACAGAACATTTGAGCGGGCTGGGTAGGTTTGGGGATTGGGCTATAATAAACAGCCTGTTTCAGAGATATCAAACACTGTGTTCCTTCTCTGCCACATGCACATCAGAAGCCTTTGCTGGGTGACAGATAACTGCTAGTACACCAGAAACACCCAAATGGATACATGTCTCTGCATACACCCAACTTGCTCTTTCTGACCTTAAAAAACCCCTGTGAGTCATTTGCACTTTTCGACAACTATAAAGATAGCTACCTATCAAGTTTTGCCAAAAAAAACCCTTTTACCTCAGTCGCTTATGTCCAATATGATTTAATCCTAGCTGACTTATTTGCTTTGGGAACATAAGCAATAATCTAAATTTTCTTTCATGTGAACGTCAGAGATCTCTTAACCTCAGAGATGCAAATGCAGGTGGCAGCTGGAGTGATTCTAGAACATTGTGAGAAAGTAGGCAAAAAAAAAAAAAAAACCCACCAAAAACACCAAAAAACAACAAAAAACCAGCCTGCCACGAAGCGTGTGCCATGAAGCTCACCTATATTTTTCTGTCAGAGTGATTTTTGAGGATATTTAACTTACACATATTTTTTCTTACTTTGATTATTTCATCACATTAAATGCAGTATAAAGCGATGGTTTTAAGTCTTTAAGTTCAGATTGAAAAACATCAGTACATACTTTAAAAAAAAATTTTAAAATCTAACTTACATAATGTTTCCTCTTTCCCCCTCTTCACCCTGACAGAAATCTGAGGAGGATTCGTGTCTGACTTTATGGGACAGGGAGGCGCCCTCCTGTTTGGGACCATCATGTGGAGGCTGAGCTCAGCCCACCAGCACACAGAGCTGGTAGTCCTCGCGTCCTCTGACATGCTCACCAGCTGCAGTGGTACCTGACAGGCAAGCGAGGAAGGTGCAGGCTAAACTTGATGACATGTCTCTCCGTGGTGAGGTAACTTTCTCTATTGTTTAGGGAGAGGGAGGTGAGGTTATAGTCCAGGTAAATGATTTTCAAATATTAGTGGCCAATGAATCTCTCAAGGAGCTTATAAAAAGGCAGATTCCTTATCCCTGAGATAAGGGGTAAGCCTGAAAAATCTGTACTTGAACAAAATGCAGGTGATCTGATTCTGCCACGGGTGTCAAAGGACCACATTTTGAGAATGGCCATTTCAATTCTCCTGCCGACAGCCAGGACAGGGGCCATAAGGACCAGTAGCAGCTGAGGGACTAGCCAAAATTAGCCTATAACGGGTAGGTGGGAGGGTTCAGTTACATCTGGTTAGATGGATTTCCAATGTTCCGATTCAAAGAATAAAGTCTGAAGTCCACCTCAGGTCCTCAAAGGCCTCATTTCCTTCTCAGACACATTCCCATTTCCCAATGAGACATTAAATGAAAACCAGGCAATTTCTCAAGTTCAGAGGAAAGCCCTGTAAGTAGTCAAAGGAATTCTTTGACTTTCAATAAGAACAAGTCAGCTACAAACCGATAAGAATGAACGCCATGGCTATCACAAAAGTGAGGACGTAGCCTCTCAGGGGTTCGTTGTTTTTCCCATAGCCCTTTGCAAAGAACTGCAGGGCTTTGTAGATGTTGTCCTTGCACAGAGCCTAATGGAAGAGAGGAGGAGAAACACGTCATTCATATCAAGGCACAGCCATCTTCCCTAGCTGATTCAAACATGAAGATTTGGAGAAAGATGAAGTAATATGCAGTGTGCCACACCAGTTTATCATTCTTATAGTATTTGAATGGATCTCGACTATGTGGCAGACATAGTATTTGAGCCAGATGCAAACATTAATTAAACTATTTCGGAAAGTGACAGAAAATGATTGCAGGTGAGAATGAATGTTTCTGCTTCATCCATGTTTGGTGGCAGCAGAGCTAAAGAGAAGCACAAGCTCTTGTGTCTGTATCACCTGGAACACTTTGGGCGCGCTGACGAGGGAGGCCAGGGCGGAGGAGAGTGTTGCAGAAAAGATCCCAGCAGTGATGAGGGGGCCAAACCCTGACACCATGCTCATGACCTTGAGAAGAGAAGGTCAAGTAAGAAGACTCATCCGGCAGACAGTTAAAAAAACTTTGCAAGTTTTTATACAAATGCTTCCCTTTCAACTTTCTAGGATTTGGAATCTTCTTTATAAGCCAACTGCTTCTACCCAGATTCCCAGCCCACCCCCTCTTCATCCTCAAGTTCTGAATATTCAAAATGAAAATGGCCTTTTTGTTGTTGTTATTTATAAAACTGACAAATGCTCACCACACTACATCCAGAAAATACTGGAAAGAATAAAAAAAGGAAATGGTTTCAAGGATTTTGACACTTCTCCCTTTGTCTTTTGTGGGCATATGTTTCTTTGATGATTGGAAATTCTATCCAGCAGAAAGTGGTATTTTAATAAGTTTTGGGGAGGGACTCAGCTGTTTACTAGTCTTTTAAGAGACATTAGCCTTTTTTTGTTCTTCTTGCACATAGAGACTTTTCAAACCTTTGCTTTTTCTGTGCTCATTAAATATAATTTCATATCTGAGACATGATGAGATTCTATCAATTTAAGTCAGATTTTGGAATAATGACTTCAGCCAAGTTAAGTTCTCTTTACTGGTTGTTAAAATAGATGAATGAAGCCTTCATGACAAATTTGCTTCTCCCTCTCCTCAGCAATCATTCAGACAAATTAATATGTTTCATGTCCAACAGTTTTACCAATTTCCCTTGTCCCATCCCCCTCTGCCACTCACAATTTCCTTCTAGGCCTTGTCTCCCGGGCCCTCCAAGCCACTAGAGATGCTTTTTCTAAGCTGAAGTCCATGAAAGAAATGCGTTCCAAGAGCTAAGTCCAGCCATGAAATCTTGCCTAATTGATTGGAAGATACAGGATGTAGGCTGGGACTCTTTCCCTGCTGATGCAGTTCAAACAACTGCCTCATCTGTCCCCTCCACCATAAAGGGAATCCGAATTTGCTACTCAGAATGCTGATCTGGTTCTCTTCCCACCCACAGGAATTGTTCCTGGCTGAATTCAAACTGATCAATAACCAATCAGAGGCAGAGGCAAAAGTTTCATTATATATGATGTTCTAAAACTGAAAAGAATAGCAATAAACATTGTCCTTTTTGGTGCTTCGAACCTGGAAATTGTTCATCAGCCCATACTGACACGGTTCATGTCGACATCTTGAGAAGTCATAGCCCAACGCACAGGCCGCCGAACCATTGCAGTTCATGCCAGGAACGATGGTGTCATTCATGCTCCCGGTGGCATCTCGCACCACACAGGCCCCTGTGCAAACAGCAGTGACTTGTCAGTTCTTTGAAAACCCTCAAGATTTTCTTCTAAAAATGCATTTTGTTTGAGTCTTCACTGCTCTATCGTCTATCCTTTCTTCACCATCATGCTTCCTGGGACCTGGTGCCGGGGGGCCATCTCTGAGGCCCCCGACTTTAATAGGGTGCTATGTCTGCTTTAAGCCCAGGCTTCCCGCCACCACCACCACCCCCACCCTAACCCCGCTCCTGTAAGGAGCTTGGACGTAGGGGTTCTTTATTTCTGAAAGGCACGTAATACACACTCAATCCATATTTCTGGCCTAGAGCTACTGAGTGGCTGGTTTCCAAGTAGAAGGATCTATTTCCTTATTTGCAAGAGATTTGAGGGAGGGCACTACTGAAATCTATTAAGAGAACTCAACCCTTCTTTTCAACTAATGATATACATTGCATAATTTTTTTAAAGAGTTATGGTCTACTTTACATATAATTTGAATTGTTCAAACCATACAGAAAATGTTATAAGAAAAAAATATTAAAAAATTCTAGGTAACATTAATGACCAAATAATATTCTATCAAATATTTATTTCAGCTTATCTGGTCCATTATTTTCTGACATTCAGGTATTTCTGTTATTTTTTCTGTTATAAACATTCTATGATGGATATCTTTGTGCATAAGATTTTTCTTCTGTATTTCAAAATATTTCTCTAGGATAGATTCCCAGAAATGAAGTAATGAACTTTTTTAAGAATCTTGCTGCATATTTTAGTCATTGACTTTCCTTATGACTTTTTCTAACTGTAATCTCTGCTGTTGTGTATTTGATAGGATTCCTAAAATATGTGAATGTGTATATGAAATACATATATATGTCTATATATACATATATATATATATAAACTTTTCTGAGCTTATCTGAAGGATAAATAGTTAACAAGCTAAATGTCAACAATAAGCTGTTCATTTTGCTTTTTGATCCAACTAGGGTAAGGGCTATTTTTTTTTTTTGAATGGTGAGTTTTCAAAGACATCCCAAATGAGAACCCTCATTTTTTTGCCATGGAATTCATATTCTTTGAATTCTTCGAATTCATAGTCTTTGAAAAGACTTGAAAATCATAGAGCTTCAAGTTGACAGTCATTTAAAGTAACCAGGTAGGAATTCTCTTCATTTAACTCTGGCCTGCTAGTCTCTACTTGAATACTTGAAGTTATAGATATTATTATATAAAATATGTTACATATATATGTTAGCAATAATATATAATATGATAGTTACCAAGGAAACTATCCATTTCAGATTTTACTTTTTGTTTTTTTTCAAGCAGGGGACTGTTTTTTCCCTCAAATTTTATTACTATGTCAGCCATTTACACAACTGTAAATTTTGGGGATAGCAACTCCATGTGTGCACATGCTTCATTCACCCACCTCCATAGTCTTAGTGCCAATGCTGTATCCCCCTTTCACCCTCATCCCCTCCTACCCCCAACCCGATTCTCTCTGGTAAATAGGGTATTTTTTGGAGTCTAAGAAATTATTTTTGCTGTGCTTTGTCAGTTTGTTTTCTTTGGTTATTTATATTCCACAAATGAGTAAAAATACCAGTAAATTTCTTTCACTTTCTGACTTATTTCACTTAGTATTATAACCTCAAGATCCATTCATTTTGTACCCAAATGCACCCCCAAAGGCACTATTTCATTTTTTAAATAGCTGAGTAGTATTCTATTGAGTTTAATAGTCCACAATTTCTTTATCCAGTCATCTGTCATTGGATACTTGTGTTGTTTTCATAACTTGGCAACTATGAATAATGCTGTTCATTTTGTTGGGCTAACTTTTCTGAATCATGTATTTTAACTTCTATATGATAAAACTCTCCAAATTCCCATGAAGCCAAGCCATGCACCATTCCTTATTCTAATGACAGGACTTGAACCTCAACAATATTCTTTTCCTATTCTGGGAAAAGTATAGCAACATAGAATTTTTTTTATCACTTACCAAAGGCAAAAACTAGAAGAATCTCTGAAATCAGATCTGTAGCTTTACTCATTCCTTCATTTTTACTTTGTGAGAAAGAAAATCGTTTGGGAAATTTAACTTTAGGTAACTTCAATATCATCTAAAAATGTGCCTATTTCCTAAAACAGTGGAGTAAAATTTCTTCACCTGTAGCTAAACCTGGAAATGCCACAATGCAGTTAGCACCATCATCCAATTTGCTCAAATAAGAGACAGTAAGAGAAGTAGGAATTTAAAAGGAATTGTTTTGCTTTTTCTCCAGAAACCAACTTAAGATATAAGCGCTTTCCAAATTCCTTTGCAGTGAGCAGAGGACATCTGGGCCACACCCTTTGGTAAAATGGTTGCAAGGGCTTCCAAAGAGGTCCAGCCTGAAACTGCATTGCCTAATGCCCAGAAAAGAGTTTTATTCCCTGAGTTTGCCACATTTCTTCCTCTCCTGCCACATTTCTTCCTCTCCTCATAAGCACAAGGTAACCCCCAAGCGGGAGGAGGTGTGGCTGCAGGCAGCAGGTGGAACAAAAGTCAGCTCAGAACAGCAGGCGAATCCATATATTTTCTGCTCACTGAGCAATGTGGGGCAGCTGGATCTTGTGCTGACTTCCTGCCAACTGGTGACAGTAACATTTCCATATTAAGGACAAAAGTACAAGGAGGGGACACAGTCATCAGTGTTACATTTTTTATAATTTCCTGAGGTCTTGTGGGTTTGGTTCTATTTGGGGCTTCTTTTCTCTTGCTCTGCCCCTCATCTGCCTTCCAGGACAAGGGAGGTGGGTTGGAAGTGGTGGTTTTCTTGGAGATTGTCAACTAGAGTGGCAAAATGGGACTTTTTCCGGGTGCAGGTAGAATGACAATCTTGATCAACTCTAGTTCTGACTCAGAAAGAACTGCATCATCGCTTCATTGCATTCAGACCCCTATTGCAGGCCTCCCTGGTGGTGCAAGGGGTTAAGCACAGCACTGTGAAGCTGTCCACAAACTCTGCAGCATGAGTTTGATCCCTGAGTAGCCAGGGAGCTCCCACATGGCACAGCAGACCTCTCCTGTCTCGCCCCTGCTCCCCTCAGCAGTGTATTTCAGTCAGTCTGCCTGTTTTGTTCCCCACTCTGTCTCTGGTGAATCCTCTCATCCACCCCCTCAACCCCCACACTTCTGGCCTACGCCCCAATTCTTATATGCAAAAATAAATAAATCTTTAAAAAAGAAAAACCCTATTGCATCCAAGGAAGGAGTTAAAATTGTTGCTTTTTAAAAAACGTTTCTACTTAGCTTCCAATGAAAGCCCTCTGGCAGTGAAGAACAACTAGACACCTTGTAATTCTGGTATTCTGACACCAGAAGTGGTCAACTTACCCACACAGATGGCCACTCCTATGTAAGCGATGGTGGTAATGAGAATGGCCAGCATGGTCCCTCTGGGGATGGCATCTTGAGGATCCTTCGGGGAAAAAAAATGATGTGGAGGTAGGAAGAGACAGGGCGGAATAAGAAAAGGAGACCACTTGAAGTTGTTTGTGTATTTTCAAACTGCGGACTACGCTTCCTGAGGCAAGTCTAAAGGTTGAGCAAATGCAACGAAGTTCTTTTTACACATGCACACAGAAAGTGTTTATCATGCATAAAGAAATCTATGGAGTTTTGCACTAAATAGAAAAGATATCTTAACTGGCCAGGAAGGAGTTTCTATAGAAAAATGCAGATGTTAGTTAACATATTAGGACCCTGCCCTGGCTTTTATCTCCTGTGACTTCATGCAGACTTATCAGGCCTTACTGTATTAGGGAAAGGATACAAATGGACCCGGCACATGGATGGTATCTATGTGTGTATTTGTTTTGTACTAAGTTTAGGCTTGCCTTAAAAAAATCACTTTTGACTGACAAAAAAGATGATTTACTAACTTCTCCAATCCCTCAATTTTCCCACTGGGAATCTAGTTCAGGAATGACTGCAATGGCAGATATTTAATTTCCATAAGCAAGTATTAAAAGGAGGCAAATTTAAGCTGATACCCGATAATGGGCTTTTCTCTTGCTTATAAATGTATATAAACTCACTGAGCTGAGCTCACATCATATATAATATACCATTTTATATCCTATTAGGGGGACTAAATCATAATCAGTTTCTCAGGAATATTTTTTAAATAATTGAATTCAACTTACCAGTGATTATTAGAGATTTTAATGTATTCTTTGCTTATCCAAGGTGGTACACAGAGTAACAATCAATAAGTACTGAATTAGGGCCTCCCTGGTGGCGCAAGGGCTTAAGCAATGCTCTTTGAAGCAATCCGCAGCCTCTGAAGCATGAGTTCGATCCCTGGCATGCCAGGGAGCAACCCACATGGCACGGCAGACCTCTCCTGTCTTGCCCGCTGCTCCCCTCAGCAGTGTATTTCAGTCAGTCTGCCTGTGCTGCTCCCCACTCTATCTCTGGTGAATCCTCTCACCCCCCTACCTCCGCATCTCTGGCCTGTATCCCAGCTCTTGTATGCATAAATAAATAAATCTTTATTAAAAAATAAAAAATACTGAATTAAGGGAAGCACAATCTCAGTAGGCATTAGCTTCCCCACAAGAGAACATGAGATTTATCAATACACATATGTAATCAATGTAGTCAAACAAAGTTTGAACTTTTTTTTTAACTGAAATCATCTCATCAAATCCATCAGAAATGTCAACTCAGTGAATGTCCACTCAACCTAACAGCTGGCTATAACTAACCAACTAATCTGCCCTGCAGAGAAAACCAGCCAAAAAGAGCCATCCCTTCCTTCCTACTCTTCTAGGAATATCTACACACAGGGTTTGTTCTGATACATGTACACACAGCCTTTTCTTTCCCAACTATTGTCTCTAAAAGTGAATGCAGCACATGTGAGCAGCACATAGATAGAAGAAGGAGGCAACTGTGGTTGAAATAGTCCCTCTTTCCCCCAGGTCTCCCAATTCATGTCATATTTAAAATTTTATCTTATATTTCTTGGGCTCTAAGAGAAATGTGAAGAACTGATTTAAGTGGGAAGATGAGAAGTACATAGAAGAACAAGAACAGTGAAGCTGGAAGGTAGTCTTATCTAAAACACAAGCTTCCTTTTTATTTAGAACTATCTGATACAAGTTCCAAGAGTACTTTTAAAGAACTTACCTGAGGGTCTAGCTGCCCTAATGTAAATGAAGGTGTCCATCATTATATGGTCATGTTCCCTGTTCTGACTACATTTCCTCCAGACCCAGCTCAGAGCTTTGACAGATACTTAGTTTTTACTGTACAAATTAACTTCCATTCCTTCTACAGCAACCCAATACCTAATTTTCTTTCACCTTTCTTCATGAAATATGTAATTTTTTCTCAAGACAGACTACAAGAAGTCTGTTAGATTACTGCTTTTTGAGTATGTCAGCCACACCTTAATCTTGCATCTAGATTAATCTGGGGTACCTCCCAAATCTTCTTCAAGGCACGTGTTTACAGGTCATTCATTAGTGTGTTAACAAATAAAAGGTTCAGGATGGAACTCTATGACATCCCCTTGTGCTAACTCTCACTGATGGTCACTGGCAGCCATTTTGAGAAGGATTCTAAGATTGTGAGCACCAGTCATCATCTGACATATCTTTATAGTGTATAAATAGTAAATGTTTACTAAGTTGAACAGAATCCATTATATTTTGATAAATCCCAGCTTTATTGTCACAGAGAAACAATATTTGTGATTACTGACAGTTCCCTCCTTCTCTGTTCTATGGATGAACTCCTAATCCTTTAACATCTGGATTGTGTCCCCTCTTCTGAAATCCTTCCCTTACTTTTTTGGGAGCAGGAAATTACAGTTTCCTCTTTCTTTTGCAAGGATTCTGTTACTGCTTCTTAAGACTCGCATGGAATAAATCTGTCTCCCTCTTGGACCATGAACTTGTCGTGGGAAGGATTGAACTCTTTGTTTCTCCCCTGCCTGGTGTAAGTAGGAGCTTGGTGTAGGTGTAAGTGTTGGCTGGCTTGAACTGACTACTAAGCATTTAATACAGACTGGTTTTTAAGAGGTTTTAAGGAAAGTCCAATATTATTTCATTTAAATATGTACTTTTAGTTTGCAGAACTTTACATCAGTGACCTCTGATGTTTTCAAAAGCCTAGAAATCAGAAGCGCAACATCTATAGCTAATAAACAGTGATATCTAGTATTTGAGTCATTTTGAACAGTTTCTTAGTTTTTCTGAGCCTCAGGATCATCTTTTTTATGCCATATCTCTGCTCAAGAATTTAAGATAGCTCTGTGGTCTTTAATGTAACAAATGTAAATGCCTTAATTCTTTCACTTCATAAATATTTACTGAAGTCTCACTAGCTTCAAAGATACAGCAATGAACAAAACCAAATATAAAGTGTCCACTTTCAAGGGGTTATATTCTAGGATCTGTAGCTCAGGCTTCTCCAATAATTGTTTCCTCCCGTCTTACAAGGTTTCCATCCAGTCTCATCAGGGTTTCTTTAGTTAAACTGTGAGAGACTCTTTACTCTCCCTAGTTTCTCCAGGCCTGGCTATTCTTTTGCTTCTCTCCCTGGAAGAGCCGCATATATTATCCCAAGAGATAGAATCTAGCCTTTATGTTCACATTGAAAAGTTTCGTCTTTGAGGAAATCATCCCTAGTGTAAAAATTATTTATTCATTATTTTTATTTCATAATCTGCTTAGACAATGCATACAGTTTTCATTTATACATATCTCTTGATAGCTCTTGCAAGTATTTGTTGTCTCCCAAAGTTGATTATACATTTATTGAGGCAAATTGTGTGTCTTTTTATTGGGTGCATCATGAGGACTGTTTATTGTTTCCTAATATCCAATGTCACCTTCCTTCTTTTAATACTAGACCCCTTACAATTTATCTGGACACATAGCAACCCAGTTAGAGGCTATATTTCCCAGCCTTGTTTGCAACTAAGTTCAGTCACAGATTAATTTCTGGTCAATGGGATGCAGAAGTGATACATGCGTTCTAGAACATGCTTTCTCTCTAACTCCTTGCTCCTCTTCCTATGGACTGGATCATGCTCTTGGAAATGATTAGTCATCTTGGACCCTGAAGATGAGGGTAACCTCCCCAAGGGAATAAATAGTAAAACAAGGGAGCTTTTCTGGGTTCCTGGGCTACCTTTTGGAGAGACATTTCTTATTTCCCTGAATGACCTATTAGCTCAAAAAATTTCTCTTAATTTTGGTAACATAGATTTATAACATTATATGATTTAGAGGTACAGGATCAAATTTTTATGTTATAAAATAAAGCCTTCTATCTTGTTTAGGCCACTGATACTAGTCTTTTATAAAATATTCAAGCCAATATCCTAATTAATATACTGCTTCTTACAATACTTAACATAGAGTAATATGAGTGGAATGATAAATAAATACCTATTAAATAGAGGATATGTTTCTGATTTATAATGACATAAGTATTTAGTCATAAAGTGATTTGTTTTTGGTTTTTCTTCACTCTTCAGTGTTCTCATTCATTTTGTGCTTAAAAGAAAATGAATGGTTCTGATTTTTATTTCACTGAACTATATTTGTTATGTTGGGAATGTAACATACTATCAATATACTCTGTCCTGTGGTCAGTGAATATGACATTTGTATGAACTATCAGAAATAGGATAGTTGGCATTAAAAGAGATAATTTTAAGTAACAAGGAAACTTTGTGAACCTCTCATAGTTTTCAAATCTGTACAGAAACATGGCTACTGTCATTTCTGTAGCTCTTTATGCTGCCCACCAACTGCACCCCCACACCCCAGGGCTACAAAGCAAGAAAACACAAACCTCCAAGTCTCCCGAGATATTGGCGCCAGCAAGAATCCCAGTTGCTGCTGGGAAAAAAATGGCAAACACAGAAAAGAAGCCTTCTCCTTTTGTGAAGCTTGGCCCAAAGTTTTCTGCAAATATTGATGCTGCAACACAGATAATGAGAAAATTGTCATTTAGATTTATCCACAGAATAAGAAAGGGATCCCTATATTTGAAATGGAATGAAGTGATTGAAAATGTTGGTGTACTTCTGATGAGCCTTTTGTAATGTTTGCCAAGAGTCAAATTATGTATCACAAAGTTTTAGAGCTCTAGGATATAGGTCTAAAGGGTCAATCATTCTAGTGCTAACAGAGATTCAGGCTGCCTGACTTCTTTGGATCTAGAAGAATGAAGAATGGAGAATTTTCTCATGAACATACTGGGCATACTCACAAATATACTACGCACATTCATGTATTCATATCCTGTACCCCTGACACAGAGTCAACATGCTTCAATATGGTAACTGCATTTATACTGCATTTATAATGCATTTATGATTTCTTTGAGTTGGATGAGAACCCTGTGGATGAGGCTACCTTACAATTTTTCTACTAATGGTCTTCTCTACCCTTTGCTTGTAGAAATTGGATCTTAAATCCTTCTACATTCTATATTCTCACGTATGGTAAAATAATATTTTCAGGAGCTTTGGTCATAAGATAATACTATCCCCAGAGGTTGTGAGCAAATTAATTAAATGAAAAGGAAGCAGTTTAGAAGAAAAACAGAAAGGAAAAGGAAGAAAGAAAAGAAAAAAAGTGTGAACAAAAGAATTTGGGATAATGCAACAAAAAGGAAAGAAAGTTTAAAACATCAAAAAAATGACAGCAGGGGCTGGAGGAGGGAAAAGAATAGAGAGGGGCAGATTGGTGACATGCAAAGCAAACCAGCCAATCTTTACAAAAAAAAAAAAACTCAGGAAGAAAGAGGTGATGTGATAGAGGAATGAAACAAAAATATTGACAACTGAACACATCATGAAGGGAAACTTAAAAGAACAAATACCTCAGCAGTGGTTTCCTGCTTAAGCTAGAAAGGAAAGCTAGGAAAGAGGGCATATGTGGAGGGGAGTAGGGAAGAGACACCCCATTTCACACTCAGTGACACTATCAGAGGATGGTGCGCTGGTGACTCCTACAATCTCTTATGTATGTGATAACTATGTATGTGATGTTAATGTTCTAGGAGAGCAAGGTGTCAAAAAGTTCAGCAGGAAGGAGAAAAGTAACTATGCTGAACTTTAGAGCTTTCAGTGATGAAACAATCTAGCAGTGTTCTCTTTCCTTGCACAAACACTTTACTTCCACTATTTGACAGCAAAAATTACTTGTCTTGCACTCTAAGGTTTGCAGCCACTTTTATATCCACTATCTTATCTACTTCTTGAAACCCCCTCAAGAAGTTATTATTATTATTCACTGCAGTAGGAGGGCCTGAGGCCCACAAACAGGAGAGAACCTGTCTAGCTGGTAAGCAGCAGGGTTGGGACTCACTCTGGCTCTCATGACTCCAGCTCCAGGCTCTTCCCTGGAGCACCACAGGATTCCAGTGGCTGGGGTGGAGGTCATGGGGTTGGTCATGGGGGCAGGCTGGGAAGAACCCTTCATTGCAAAGCAACTCATTACCTTGATAATTAAAGAAACCTCTGGACTTCTTCTCATTATTGGATGGAATGACAGTTCCAATGAAGAAGTTTGCAATAGCAATGAGGAGAATGATCAGAAGGATCACCTGAGCCTGGAATGGCAAAGCAGAGGGAGGCCAACTTAGATTTAATTCACCAATTTTATGTGACTGTAAACATTGCCAGTGTCCACTGAAGAGACACCATTAGATTGTCCAGTTAAGACTCTTCCATCCATAGTAGATAATAAAGAGAATGGCATCTTAATAAGCCTTATTTGACCCGAGAGTGGATGCTACCTCTTCTTGGGAGCATGTTTTTGGTACTTGAGGGTGATATTTCAATAACATTGCAAGTGTTAGGTGGGTGATTTACTGCAATGTGCACAGGAATATAAGAGGAGCCAAAAGTTTTAACCTTGACAGAGATGTTTCTTTTTTTTTAAATTTATTTATTGTTATTGAAGTACCATTGTACCATTATTTGCCATCCTTGCTAGCGTGTTGACATTGCAGGGCTCCCCCCACTCAGGTGTAGTCACTGTAGCAACACCATTGTCCTCCACTGAAGCACCCATAGTCCTCCACTATAGTCTGGAGCTGATTTCTTTTCTAGGCAGAGCACCCTTTCCAGTGCTAACTGCAGAAGAAAACACAGAATGATTCACAGACGTCCTTTGATGCTTAGTGCCCTTGATAGTGAGCTGCATGTGTGCCCTACAGTCTGGAAGGCTGACGGCCCAAGAGTTTCCTTAGTCCCTCCACCATTTTAAGGTGTTGTTTAGCTTGGCAGTGCCAAATGCTGGTCCCTCTGCTGGAAATGTATTTATTCCTACTCTTTGCATGATATTTTCTGCTCATCCTTTCAAGTCTCAGTTGCCTCCTCCGAGGTGCCTGCCTTGACCCCTGGATCTAAATAACAAGAGCTAAGTTTCACCAGAGGCTTACAGTAAAGCAAATGCAATTTGAGTTTTGCCACTATTCCTTTGGCTAAATAATTTCAAAGATAAAGAAACTGAGGCACAGAGAGGTTAAATAATTTACTAAAGGTCATAGAACTATAAACCAGATTCAAATCCAGCACTTGAACTACAGATTAGTTAGTGCTTTCAATACTACCTTCTACTTCCACAGAACGACATATTCTCTTTCTGGAATAAAATCATGGAAAGTAGGTTGGGTCTCCCTGTCATGTTCTATCTAGGTACCTGTTTGTTTCCTTCTTAGCAGGTTGACAATTTGCCGCTTTATATTTTGTCATGAATCTAATTATTGCTCATCTCCTGACAGACCACAGGGTCCATTAGAACAGAGACTGTTTCTGTTTTGGTCACCAGTGATTATTCAGTACCTATAGAGTGACCAGAACAGGACAGGCACTTCCTGTAATCATTGTAACCAATGCTTGTTTAATGTGTGACCACATAATTCACAGACAGATGTCGTGTAGGAATGTTCCTATAGCCTTATCTAGGTGGGACACTCTGGCTAGCTTTCCATTTCTGCTAGCCACTTGAGGTCTTGTTACTTCATCTTGAGGCACAAGGAAGAATTTCAGTTATATGGGTCACTGGCTAAATAGGCAAATGATATGTTTCCCATTCATTACTCAGAAATTTACTATTTTACTACTTGTTAAATCCAGATATTCTCTAATTCCAAGGTTCATAATGCCCTCAAATTTTCTGCTGAAGTACTGGGTTTCTGGAAGAGATAATTCTTCTGCCTCTAATGCCACCAAATTTGCCATCCTTTTGGACTTCAGCACCCATAGGCCACTTGGAAGGGGTTACCAGGAATGTGATGGAAAGATGCATGATTCCAGCATCTACCATCACTGCACTCATGACGGTTCTGTGCATGAAGAGGCAGCAATCACATGGTGGCTGTGACACAGTGATGGTAGCACAAAAGAGAAGAAAGTACAGGCTCGATCACTGGCCTCTCAGGGCTTGATGTTTGCTCAGCGCTAACCTACAGTGTTTCCCACAGTAGTAATAGCAGCAATTCTCTTTGAATCTGGGGTTCCTTCTATTCCTGCAATCTGTTCAGGATCTGCCCAGCAGTTTTTGATAGCATCATTGACAGATTCACCTTAGCTTCCCATTCCATTCCAGCTACTGAAATTCCTAAAAGGATCACCACAGTGATGGACCCGATTATCCGGATGTCATTGGTTGGATCCACCATCATTGAGTCACTCTCCTGAAATAAAGAAAAATCATTTAACTAGTTAGAGGAGTACTTTTTCCCCTTTATATCTGACTGTTACATTTATAGTAAGAAGAGACACTGTGCAGTAATGCCCGGGGCCATATAGGATATCAGAACAGTCAAGTGCTCATAAATTTGAGAGGACAAAGAACCATTTTTTTCCAATGATAATAGGCCTTTGATAGCAAGGTTAAGACTGGAAATTTTAGCGAATCATTCTGTCACAGCTTTTAAAGCTAGGGTAGCACTAAGTAAAAGGAGGTATACATACACAATCACGTTTTGCTTCAAGCTAGTTATTTTTGTGTCAAGGAAAATCCTAGAGGAATAAATGTGAGTAGTTTCCAGTAGTTTCTAAGTGCTGTTCAATTAAGTACAAACTATACAAATCAGATAATGCATCTCTTGAAGATAAGATACCTTATGAATTATATAATCCACTCACGTATTCATCTAATTTTCAATAGCAGTACTACCAATAGAATTCAGACAATGTTAGCATTATCATGTGAGGTTGACTAAAAGTTAATTTCTATACAAGCTAAATTAACCTGTTTACATGTATAACATCTGCACTGGACCTAAACTAGGAAACATACAGTTTCCTATAGTGAGTTAGTCTCATGTTTAAACTTTCCCTTTGGAAATCTATAATCATAATAGTCATGTTACAGGTAATAAAATCACCTGTTATGTATCTCTTTTTCATATTTTTATGCAGAATTTTATGCACATCATTTCATTTGATCTTTACCACATTTTTATGAGGTACATAGAACAATATTATTAGGCCATATTTTAGATTTGGAAAACGAGGTTTAGAAGAATAGAGGGACTGGTCCACAATCCCTCAGTTGGCAAAATGAGAGCCAGGCCTCCTTGTCATAAGTGGTGCCTAGTCTGGGGCTCCCTCAACTATATCCACCTTCACATTCTGCAGAATAAATCGGTTCCCTCTCATCTGACCATAATGACACGCCTTGGTATCCTGAAACAGCAACCTGAACCAAATTATCTTACTTGACTGAAGAAAAGTTTTGAAGTACCTTAAGGAGATCTACCACAGTCTCAGCAAATCCCACCACATACATGGCAACAGCTACTGCATTGGCAAAAGCAAAGATCAAGCCTATAGACCCACCAAACTCGGGCCCTAAGCTTCTGGAAATAAGATAGTAGGCCCCACCTGAAATAAGAAATGAGCATGTTTAACGTTGAGGAACATTTAAAACATTGATTATTCTAATGATGATATTACAACTTCCTAATAATTTTATGAATCTTGTGTCAACGATGAACTTAGCTCTTCCTTGCACTCTATAGACAATCTATAATAGAACCATCTTAGCTTAATAAAATACAGTTTATTGAGGCCAACTGTATACAAATGCTGCAAATAAGAACACAACAAACTTTACCAATGAAATGCTTTGTTTTAGGAAAAAACTCATGCGAGAGTTCAAATCAGTAATTCATGGGAGAGTTCAAATCAGTAATACAAAATTTTATATCTGCAATCCACAAGCCTAAGCAAAAGGTGAAGTGAATAAGTTTATCATTGTTCTCCTGACTTCCATTCTGGCATCATTTTCTGATATATATATGCCTTTCTGTACTGATCAGTCGCATAAAAAGTCATCTGGATACTGCTACGGGTTATTCATTTTATAAGTCGGACTCTCTTTCCTGTATTTGTAGCTCAAGATGGCATGATTATTGCCATGGACCCAAGTGTGTGTATGGGAGTGAAAAATGGGAAAAATGGAAAGGAGTTCTGGGACAAGTGCTTTCCCCTTGGACCTTGAAAAGGTTGATTCTAGATATGACTGTGTCCTTCTGAGGACGTGAGAGACTGAACAGGGCTGGTTAACTGGCTAGAAGCTGCTGAAAGCAGCTTGCTGAAGCTAAAAAAGACTAGACACTGAGAGGGCTTAAATAATTAGATGTTATCGCAGACCATAGTGAATGAATGAGTTCCTGTACTGAGCTAGTCTTAGAGATGGACAAAATTGGGGGAATGCCATTGAACAAACATATCCAGAACCAAAACTTTTACAGAAAAGGACTGTTTCCTAATATAGTAATTCTTTTGGGTTCAGGGGTCACACCTGCTCTAATATATGACTTGTCCTCTGGATGAGGCAAATCCCCACCATTTCCTTTGTCCAGGTTACATTAAATAAATGATCCAGTTCCCAAGGCTAGATCAAAATGAGAGACAAATAGAAGTTGTAAGGGGAGGTACATTGTGGATAGGATGGAGTTTTAGAAGACTCTGGATAGGGAGACCCAGATAAGATATCCCAAGCAGAGTGCCTGGGGAGCCAAAGCAGAATGGCTAGGGGAAGGAAGGAAATTAGAAGAACTGTGATAAACTTTATCCACTTTATTGTCTTACTAGACTTGCCCGTTCTGGGATGATGTGGAAAAACCCTTTTTTTTTTCTTCTTTTTATTTTCTTTTAAAAGATCTTCTCATGCCTCTTGGCCACAAGGAGTATATTGTGGTCATGATCTCTGAGGCTCTACTGAGTTCAGCAGTGACATCTGGGGTGCTGGGGGACCCCCATGCTGAGGACCCCTCAGAGTTGAGGCATTCAACAAGGCCCAAAGAAGCCATATATTTTACTATACTACTCCTTGTCTTCTTTCTAGACACCTGGTCACTGTCTACTTCATAAATATGTTTAAACACAGAAAATAGGTCAGAGAAGTCTTTTCTGGAGACCTTCTTATTTAAAAGTATTTTCCCTTCGTTGTTTAAATTTCGGGCTATTTATTTTGCCTTAAGACCTTGGGGACTAATTAAAATTTTACTCCCCAAAGTAAATCAATTCTAGACACTACTATGTAACCAAAGCTTGAGTCAAAAGTAAATGAATTGGCTTACCTCCTCTTACCACTCCATTTGTGCAAATAGCAGACATAGAAATACCTGTGAGTGTTGTCACCACCACGCTCAGGCCAATGATGATGACTCCAAGACCTGCAAAATCCCCCAAGAAACGTGTTTGGCTCCAGTACTGAGAGAAGTCACCAGAATTTCCAGCAGCAGCAAGCTGAGTTTTAGTACAGAAGTCTCGGTCTCCCAGTGAAAAACCTGAAATGTTCTTAAAAATCCCATCCCATGAAGATCTAGGAAACACCTGCAATGTACTGAACTTTAAAATTGCAGCCATGTCCAGGAATTATTTTCCAGAGAACGCCAGCAACAGGTGTGCAGACAAGCCTGAAAAGGAAAACATTTACCCAGGGCAATTGAGCATTTGGGATCCATGACTTGCAAATGTGCCATCGAGGTCCATTAGAAGAGAGAGCGCAGCTGACCAGACTAGACCTGAACTGTATTTACGGTACCTTGTCTCCTTCTGCATCCAGCTCATCCAAAGTGCAAGCCAGGTTTCAAGAACTTTGGAATACTTCCTTGATCCCATCAAGAAGAAATAGATAAAAAAAAATTTTGCCTACCCGTAGCAAGTGACGAGAGCATTAGATATCTTAGAAATTTTACCTCCACGAACAAACCCGTTAGTCGCTATGGCAGAAGTTGACAACCCAGTAATAGAAGTTACCATGGTGGAAAGAAGAATTATCAGAACTCCAAGACCTGTTAGCAATGAAAGATAGAAGATATTACATTTTACTTTTCCTCCTTGGATCCCCTATGGCTGCAAACTATACTGCCTTTAATTGGAGTTTTTATATCCAAGCCTTGGACCCCAACGGAGTTCCTTTGTGCTGAGGAGAAACTGGCATGCCTGGCATAACGATCGAGTTGGGGAACTGCTCATTAGGATGAGGGATGTTTTCTCCAAGTAAATACAATCTAAAATGCAGTCCTGGAAAGGAAAGGTTGACTTATGTTGGTGTCCTGGGAGAGAAACCGCCCTGGCTGTGAAAAGAGAAGACACGACATTTGACCTTCTCTCTTGCTTGAGAGGAACCTGGATGAAAAAGTTGGGGGGTTGACAAAGGTTAAATTCCTCTCCATTTTTCTTGCACATCTCTTGCCTGAGCGATGAGGGAAAAAGGACCCAACTTAGATTACCTTTGAAAATACTCCAGAAAGGTCAGTGGTGAACTACTGGCGCCCACGTTGCTTTTACCTTATAAATGATTCTGTGGGTGGCACATTTAATTACCTCCTCTGACATATCCATTTGTGGCAATAGCCGAGGTGGATAAACCAGTGATACCAGTCACTGTCACGGCTAAGCCGATGATAATCACACCAAGACCTCAGTTGAGAGAGGAAAAATAAAGGCAATTAAATGGTGGAACATTTGTTAGATGGTTTACATAGAAGTCAGCAAGTCTAATCACCAAAGGACCACACTTGAGCTTAGCAAGTTGGCCTGACAACAGAGTACATGCTTGACTGAGGGTTTTGGCCTGTGGCACTAAGAAACTCAAGCACTAATATGTATTATGTGATTTGCAAACAACTGCAACTGGTCAACATTTCATGTGAAGTCCATTTTTTTTTTCTTCATTTGTGTATGCAAGAACTGGGGTAAAGGCCAGAGGTGTGGGGTGTGAGAGGATTCACCAGAGACAGAGTGGGGAGCAGAACAGGCAGATTGACCAAAGTACACTGCTGAGGGGAGCAGCAGGAGAGCCAGGAGAGGTCTGCTGCACCATGTGGGTATCTCCCTGGCCAGGGATCGAACTCGTGTAGTGGCTGCGGATAGCTTCGTAGGTTGCATCCTAACCCCTTGTGCCAGCAGGGAAGCTCTGAAAGCCACTCTTGATGAAGTTGTAAACATCAATAAACATAATCATTAGTTCATACAAGTTCGAACTGCTAATATTGTGGCCTCCCCGGTGGCACAAGGGATTAAGACGCAGTACTATGAAGCTATCCATAGTCACTCCAGCACGAGTTTGATCCCTGGCTAGGGAGGTGACCCACATGGTGCAGCAGACCTCTCCTGTCTCACCCACGACTCCCTTCAGCAATGTATTTTAGTAGATCTGCCTGTTCCGCTCCCCACTCTGTCTCTGGTGAATCCTCTCATCTCACACCCCTCCCCCCCGGCTCTGGCCCGCACCCCAGCTCTTGTATGCATAAATAAATAAATCTTTTTTAAAAACTGCTAATATCACTGGAGAATAAATGTTCATCCTTCCAGGTAACTACTTTTTAATGTGCATGTGGTTGTATAGGAATGGGAAAATAACATGGAGGATAGCAAACTGTTCATCTGGCCAATGAGTAAAGTGAAAAGAATCAAACTGAACTATGTTTACTTATTAGCCATGTGACCTCACACAAGTCACTTATTTGCTGAGCTAAAATGGCAATGACATTAGAAAGAATGCAAGTGTGAAGTGATTAGTGTGAAGAATGCCTATGTAGGGCCTCCCTGTGGTGCAAGGGATTGGGCACCACACTGTGGGGCTGTCCCGCAGCCTCTGCAGCTTGAGTTCTATTCCCGGCCGGCCGGGAGCTGCCCATATGGCGCAGCGGACCTCTCCTAGCTTGCCTGCTGCTCCCCTCAGCAGTGTGTTTCAGTCACTCTGCCTGTTCTGTTCCCCACTCTGTCTCTGGGTGAATCCTCTCACCCCCTATACTTCTGGCCTGTACCCAAGTAAAAAAAAAAAAAAAAAGAATGCCTATGTAAAGTAGCATGGGGCCTCCCTGGTGGCACAGGCAGTTGAGTGCCACACTGTGAAGCTGTCTGCAGCCTCTGCAGTGTGGGTTCGATCCCAACCGGCCAGTGAGAATCCCACATGGTGAAGCAGACCTCTCCTGTCTCGCCAGTTGCGCCCCTCAGCAGTGTATTTCATCAGTCTGACTATTCTCTTCCCCGCTCTGTCTCTGGTGAATCCTCTCACCCTCCCACACATCTGGCCTATACCCTGGTTCTTGTATAAAAATAAATAAAATCTTTAAAAAAAAAGAACTACTATAAAAAAAAATAAAGTAGCATGACACAGGACACACAGTACGCCATCAAGGGCACTGCTTTCTCATATCTACAAAGACCATAGTAGCTGCAGTTTAGTATAAGCCGACTGTACATCCAGCTGTGCACTTGCTGGCATAGCCATACAAGGTCCAAATGAAGAACATTGCCCTCAAGGATCTTATGCTGCAGAAGGCCAGTGATGATTATGAAAGGAAGAAAGCAGTGAAGGCCAGAATTTAGAGGAAGCCGAGGCTGCTTTCAGTTTCAGGAAATAAATAGCAGGAGGATACTGAAGGGTACCAGAATATGTTACCTTGAAATATGCCACTTTAGTATGAGGACTATAGTTAGGTTGAAGGCATAGAAAAGAAATACTTCTTCAAAGCAGGACATACATTTGCAAAAGTGCCTCCCCTTACCTCTATACTAGAAAGGACAGAAATTAATCACTGGAGATAGGCCTTTACAGCTGGAGATGGCGCCAGAAGAATCTACACAACAAACTTCACTAACTAGCCCTTATCTTCCATTAGTTACCCAGATATTTGCCTCCCCACAATTTGCTACCTGAGAAAATGAGTAGTTCTTTTCCTTTGTCCTGTCACTTCTCTAAAATTGTATCCTTTTGTTAAGATGCAAAAGAACAGAATTAGAAGTCCGTTTTCTAATTATCCCTTTGAGTTTGTTGTTGGTGAGTAGTCCAACATGTGTGCAGGGAGCCCTGTTAATAAACTTCTGATTGTTTTTCTCATGTTACTCTGTCTACTGTCAGTCTTGTTTACAGGGCACTTGCCAAAGAGCATAATATGGCTAGGCTTTATTCTCCTCTTACAAAACGCTCCTCAATGGAGGCTGATCCAGAATTCACAGAGAGGTTATAGGGTCACAGCCTCTGAAATCACCCTGGCTGCAGCCAGGGTGCTCTTCCCGAGGCCGATTTGGTAAGCTCCCCTACATAAAGTGGATGCTGTGTAATTGTTACTGGCAGGCTCTTTTGTCCCAAGAGTGATTAGAGGGGTAGTCAGCCAAGAGAGGTTATGTTCTCTGGTCATGCCCTAGGAGAGGTGATGGGAGGGTAAGGACAGAAATGCAAACAAGGCACTAGAGCCTGGCTCTCCTGATGCTCTCAGCTGTATCTTGGCTTTGGCTGTACAGGAGTCTCTAGGCTTTTTTGCAGGTTAAAGTGTAGGAAGCAGGTTTTGCAGGGTAAAGTGCAGTAGGAAGAGGTTCATTCTGGGCATGAGATGCAAACTTGGATTGCTGTAGCTTTGGTACTGTAGGAAGGTCCCCCCAAAGGGGTCAGATAGGCTTTTTCCTAGATGTTCTGAGTAAGCCTTTTTCCAATGAGTGTCACCTGGCTATGTGGAACTAAAGTCAATCAAGGCCCCGCAGGCTAAGGAGAAGCACTTGTGTCTCCCTTAAACCCTTTGCTCTACTCCTAATTGAAGAAGAAATCACTCCTCTCTTACTGATCTAGAAGATGCATGTGGGGGAGTCACCCAGGTACAGGTTTATCAGTGAACACACCCTACCTGAGAAATGAATCTTTTTACCCTTAAAGATGAACTTATCCCCTTCTTGCCACAGTAAATCCCTTCCCCATGTCCCTTAGCACAGGATATAAACCCCTGGCTTACCCTACTTGTGATTTTATAGTTGTGTAAAATTTTCTGTACATATATTATTAAATTTGGTCTTCTTCTCTTCTGATCTAATTAATTTGTCCATTTGCCCAGTCACAAAAATCCAGATGGAGTGGGAGAATTTTCCCCTGAACACTGAGAGTCCCATTAGATTCTTAAAATTTTGGTGTTGTAAGAAAGAGTTGCACTAAATTCTTTGTATCAGTTGCGTGGATCCAGTGGCAAGTGTTGCCTCTGCATTACTAAGGACTCATGTCTATCTCATGGACTGAAGGTAATTTCTTTTTATTTTTTGTACACTATTTTGCATTTAATTTTGTTTTGAGAATGTTTGATATCAAATGTTTAGTTCGCCCCAGGAACTATAGAAGCATGTAGTTTGCATTTCAGGACATCGAAGCTGTTCTAACTTTTGTTATTTCCCTACCTTTATTTTCTCAGCAATTTTAAACCTGTCCTTTAATATTGTATATATTTCTATAAACCATTTGAACTCATGGAATGAAACTTTATACATTTAAACAGTGAATATTTTTCTTCTCTCAGAACCAAACATAAATTCCCAAGGTAAAAGGCAGCTCAGAGAACATTCAGTCCAGAGTTGTCTCCATGTGCTGCCCTTGAACCAGTCCAAGAAATGCCTCGAGTGCTTATTAAAAATGCCCAGATCTGCTGAGTTTGGATCTTTCAAGGTGAATCCCAGGATTCTTTACTTTGTGAAACTAACTTTCCAGGCATTCTTTACGAACTCCATGGTCTGAAGATTAGTGAGCCAGCCCCAGCCGGTCTCAATTTACGCCTAGTTTTTGAGCAAGGTTATTTAGCTCTATCTTTAAAAAAAACTGAATGTGAAACAATCCAGCTCCCTAATTTTCAGAGGAGGAGGTGAAACAGAATATAAATGACTTGCTTCAGGTCACACCCTTTTTTCTTGCCTCATGGTTAAATTTATTGAAAACCATCTTGCTCCAGGCAAGGTCTCCAGAGAAGAAAAACTAGAGGGCACCATCAGCTCATTCTACTATTTGCTAGGGGGATAAAACAGGTAAAACTGAAAGCCCCAGAGTGGTTATACACGAGCTTCAGTTGCCATAACTGCTGGCTCCAGCTCCTGCTGGATTTAGTCCCAGGCCTCGACATGAAAGTATATTCAGGTTTCTTACCCAAACTACTCTCAGAGCAAGAAGAAATAAATTGTATTGGTTCCTTTCCCAGTAAAAGAAACCCAAATGTGACCCAGATGGTGACTAATCAACTCATTTAGCTTTAAGTTCATAACAAAGGCCAGTAAAAGTGAATACGATAATAAGTTTCTGCTACTTACTAAAGTCTGTTTTCAGAGAATTGAAAAAAAAAGCCCTCCGTTCAAAGGAAAAACCCACCGGATACCTATTTAGGTAGTCAAATCCGCATAGAGTAGGATTTGACTACTGAATAAAAGGTGCTTACTAAAACAACACTGATATCTGAAAGCATGATCGATTGGTAGAAAATAGGATCCTTTCTATTTTACAATTCTGCAGTAAACATGCAACTGGATTGACAGTGAAGAATAATGTAAGATCTGATTAAGGTTCAGATTATTGCCCAAGCATATGGATGTTAAATAAGTTGCATTAAAAAGAATTACTCTTGCCCTTGGCTGCACTCACACCTCCAAACAAAGTAATGTTTCTTGATGATCTCAATAAGTTACTAAACTGCCCTTAAAAACCTAATTTTGCATGAAGCCCTGGAGCAAAAACTTGGCAATATTAAGATGTAGATTTTCCATGGAACAGCATATACTTATTTTGGCCCCTGCAGCTGCAGGCATTCATTTGATATGCTTCATAAAGCCGGCAAGCAGCCCTTTGTCAGGAACACAGCAGTTGCCAAACATGAAACCAGGAAAAGTATGGGAACTCACTCCAGTATTTCAATGTACAAATCAGCCCTTTCCTCTTTGAGTTAGTCTAGTGGTTCTGAGGGAGTTTTGAGGATCAAAGGCAATAGATAATGACCAAGTACTTTTTAATTGTGACTTGAGATATATTCTGGAGCAATATCTGAAAGCATGTCTGAACCTGTAAGTTCTGGAGATGATGATTGATGTCTTCCTTCAATGTGTATCAATATGTTGGGTATATACACTCCTACACACATATATACATATATACATTATATGTACATATATGTTTATATGTGTGTATCTATTTTCCATATACAAGGTAGAACATCACTAATTTTTCCATATAGAAGAGTAGGAGATCATTTATTTTTATCACTTAAATCAAGGATTCTGATAAAGTTAAGATGAATTTTTCATATAAATTGTACTAACAAACTTGCAATAAAAAAGACTTGCCACAGGAAATAATACCTTACAGGGAAAATTATATTTTAAAACATTGAATAGTCACTCAAAATAATTTCAACAAAATCCGTTTTCCATTGAGAAAAATTAGTAATAGTTATATACATTATCTTGGTCATTTTATCTACTATTTTAAGCTTCTATCTGGCAATACTCACTTAACCTTTGTTTTCTTACTGCTGGTACCTGAAAGTAACACAGCTATTTTCTTTGGAAAATCTCCAACAATTCAGCATTTTTATTAGGTCACCAGTTTTTCCACAAGCTATTTTTGTTTAATGAACTTTTGCCAATAATCATAAGAGAGAACTCTGATAAATGTCAATATGTCTCAAGATGTGAACACTATTATTTAAAAAGAATGTGTCTCCGTATCCCTGGAAACCTAAAATGCTATGAAAAGATAGAAATTTTTACTTGAGCACTCATCTGCATGACAAACTGGAAAATTCCAGTCTTCCAGGAGTTAACTCTTCACCTTTTTCTCTGGTAAACATTATCAAAGAGGCAAAGGGAAAGAGACCACGTACAGATTAATTCTGTGACCTTCATCTCACATTCAGTGTTAATGGTGAAAAAAAGGCTGCCTATTGAATTTCTAGTTTACACTGAAATTTATAAAAGAGGGGGGAATGCCTACCAATTCCAGCTTCTCCAACAATCCAGGAGAGGCGAATGAAGAGCATGACACCCCAGATGTTTAGCATGCATCTCACCTGTGGGTCGAAGCACATTGAAAAGGACGTGAGAAGTGACAATGGGATAAAACTCAGGACGTGAGAAGTGACAAGTCTGCAATTCAGGCCTTAGTCCATAGAACACTGAATGGAGAGTTTCGTTTGTAAACACAGAAGCTTTTCTCACCAGCACACCTTTCACCCATCCAAACTTCACAGCACCGCCTTTATCTTCTTCCTTGTTTTCAGCTTGTTCCTCTGCAGGCATCCCATCACCATTAGCAACCCTGTCTGCGGGGCCTGGGGCCACTGCCACGTTCTGCAGTTTTAAAGAGTAAAAACACAGTATTTGGTCAACAAGTGGTTTTACAGAACATTCAAAGACACATTAAAACAACTGACACAAAACTTTATGGGAGGACAGCCAAGGACCTATTCTAGGCATTTAAATCAGATCATTGTTTTGTGTCCTAGTTGCTGATGGTTTACACAGTGGGGGCCTTCAGGCATAGCTCAGATGCAGGGTGGGCTGATGGAATGCAGACAGTTTGGTGAGAATCCTAGTGGGGGAATGGTCAGATTTGGATAAGTCTATGCAACAGTGTGATGATATCCATAGAAAGGGGGGGTTCCAGTTTCCCTGCCCCACCCAAGGAAGGGAGGAATTGAGCAGAGATGAAAAGCTGAGGAAAAGGAGGAAGAAATAGAGAGAGATGGGGAAGGAAGAAGACAGGAGGAGGCACAGGAACAGAAATATGTGAAGAAGAAGCTATTCTTGCTTCTCGGCCTTGGACTTGTACCAGGGACTTGGGGGACATGGAGAGAGACACTTGAAAGAGACGTGGGTGAGAGACGTGTGGAGAGGCTGATGAAGGCACCCTTTATCTTGACTCAGATTTTGATTTTTGCTCATTTCCTTCCACATTTTCTGGCCCTTTTTGCCCCTTTCCTATGGGTCCTCAACAGTAGGTACCTTAGACTGGTGACTAGCTTTCAGGTCTCAGTGATCCTACTTTGGGCCAACCCTTTTTGCCTGGGCATTTGCCCATGAGAGGACGGGTAACATGGGCACTTCAAGTGTAAACTATTGTGACGTATTCTTTCTCTACTCTTCTTTTTGTTGCACACTAATTGTTGCACATTAATTACATTAAAGTTCTTTCCTGTTGAAGATCTTACTCACTAGAGTATGTTTTATCTTGATGTGGTAGATAGTAGAACCTATTTAGAACATGTAGGTTTGGGAGGATCCCAGTGCCCCTCATTCTGCCTGCTAACATTTAGAATACAAAAAGAATAAAAGAGAAATAGTGATGCAGAGAGGAAAGATTATCAAGAGTGAGTGGGGGTCTCTTTTCAAGAATTCACTTCGCTTTTGCTGTTATTGTAACAGGGTGGTCCCCAGGAAAGGGGGAGGTTCGAGGTTCCCTGCCCCACCCAAGGGAGGGTGGAGCTGAGCAGGAAGAGAAGAAGCTGCAGGAAGAGACGGAGGAAGGAAGCAGGATGGAGCAAGGAGACTTGGAGGAGGCACATGGAGCCTAGAGACACGTGAAGAAACTGCGCTTGTCTTTTGGTCGTGGACGGGGTGACACAGATGTGGGTGAGACCCGTGGGGAGGTGACAATGGCAGCTTTTATCTTGATGTTGATTTTGCTCTTTTCCTTCCGGGCTTGTCTGGTTGTTTGTGACCCATTTCTGTGGGTCCCCACTGGAAGATGCTTTAGACTTGTGGCAGGCTTTGGGGCCTTGTTCTGGGCCAATCCCATATGGATGGACTTTTACCCACGAGGGGATGGGTAACTTTGGGTGCTTCATTTAGAAACTAGACTTTTTGCCTTACCTGTATTGTTTCCTAGTTTAATTAAAGTTCCTTCCCATTAAAGTCTCATATGTTTTGTGCTGATGCGGCGGATGGCAGAACCCATTTAGAATAGGCAGGTTTGCGGGGTTTGGGCTGCCCCTTTCCCTGTCCTATAACATTATGTCACTTAGCTTTTGCTACAAAAGTCAAAAAGGGAAAATAGTGCTCAGCTCCTGATTTTGAGCAGCTAGGTAGAAGCAGCTTTCTCCCCAAGAAGAATAGCCAGAGAGGCTCCAACAAGCTCTTTCCTCATAACTACTTTCTGCAGACTGTGCAGTTTTCATTTCATTCCTACTTTTACTACATGTGAGTGTGATTTCATGTTTTATGTCTTATTTGGTATGATTCGGTGGGTTTCCTTTTGGGCCTGCAACCACCACCTCCACCGCTATCCACCCCCATCTCAATTTTTGTATAGAAGTGAATAGTCATCGCTTCCTTACTTTGTGCCATTTTAGCTTATGAAAGGTCTCATAGGAACATTTATTTTTGGTTGGAGGGGGAACCTGTATGCTAAAATGACTTAAAGACACTTTATGGGTACAGGAATGCTATTCCTGGAGAAGTTTCTTTCAGATTTGATATGTATTTCCTCAGGATTTGTTGAATATGCTGGTGGGATTGTACAAATGGTCAAAGTCTCACAACTCTCAGAAAGCTAGACTGAGTAGAAGTAAGAAGTAGTTTAAACAAAGGTTAAAACCTTTGTTTTTCTATGGTCTAACTTTGAAAAAGGCCTTCCTTCTCAGTAGATAGTTTCTGAATCCAATGGAAGAGGAAATAGTTCTGTTTCCTTTAAGAACAACTAATTTCTCCTTTTAGATATGACAATAATTTCAGGTGCACCCACATAGTTTAGACTATCTAGCACCTACCTGACTTTTTATTTTATTTTTTTAAAGATTTATTTATTTATGCATACAAGATTTATTTATGCAAGATTTATTTATTTATGCACACAGGCCAGAGATACCGGAGGTGAGAGGATTCACCAGAGACAGAGTGGGGAACAGAACAGGCAGACTGACTGAAATACACTGCTGAGGGGAGCAGCAGGCAAGACAGGAGAGGTCTGCTGCGCCATGTGGGTTGCTCCCTGGCCCGCCGGGGATTGAACTCGTGCTGCTGAGGCTGCGGATAGCTTCATAGTGCTGTGCTTAACCCCTTGTGCCACCAGGGAGGCCCCCTATCTGACTTTTTAATGGATAGATTACACCCCTACTGAATTCCCCAAAGCAGCCTTTTTTCAACCATTGGTTTTAAGTCTCTTAGAGTCAACATTTTAAATTAACATTATTAAAGAATAATTTTATCTTCTGTAAGTGGTCTAAATTGATTTAAACCTGGGATGATGTGTTCTCACATTTACTTGCCAAAAGGTCTTACACAAGGGCATTTTTTTTTCTCCTCTAAAATACAAGTGGTGTGAAATCAGTGTTCAGTATTTATTATAAGGACTTATTTGGGAACAATTAATATTCTTGCTCTTGCCATAGTCAAGGGCTCTTGTTTGGGGTGTGGTATACTTTTAGCATATCCACGATAAACTAACTCTAATTTAGGCTCTTTACTCCAAGTGACTGACTTATTGTCTCCTTCTGCTATTAAGTTCTTCTACATCTCTATGTCAGTCAGGATTTTCCCAACTTTGTGCTCATGGTATCTCATAATACTGTAAATATCTCATGATATTAGTGTGACACTTGGCTAGCTAATGTAATACAACATGATGAGTCATTGCAGGAACTACACTGGAGGAGTTAGTGGTGTGGGTTTTCTTCTCATCAATGCCAATCAAGGGCTCCCCATGTAGCAGGATACTGATAACAATATTGAGTCCACAATGGACTTGAAGGCCACACAATCTCTCCCATGGAGGAGCAGATGGCCTGGTTTCTTACCATTCTTGCTTCCTACTTTTCCCCCTGTTTCCTTCCCTATTAGATACTTCATTACTCACTGTTTCCTCTGTGCAGGCCACAGTAAAAAAAGGAAGAAGGGGTTGAGTCCCAAGCCAGATCATCTTATTAATTCCCATCAGTATTGGGGGGAGGGGGAAATGAATGATAAAGGAAATTGAAACTAATAATCAAAATTTGTTTTGCATTATCTGATGAATATCTGAATCTTAAGCGTTCTCAGTACCTCTTTGCACAGATAATTGAAAGCTGATGTCTCATTCTTATCAGTATAAGTTATGGATAAACTAAGTTCTTAGAAATTGAAACTAGGGGCTTCCCTGGTGGCGTAGGAGTTAAAGTCTCAGCACTATCAAGCTATCATCAGGCACTGCAGCCTGAGTGTGATACCTGGTCAGGGAGCTTACTACATGGTGCTGCAGACCTCTCCTGTCTCGCCTGCTGCTCCCCTCAGCAGTGTATTTCAGTAGATCTCCCTGTTCTGGTCCCCACTCTGTCTCTGATGAATCCTCTCACCCCTCACCCCTGCTCCTCTGGCCTATACCCCAGTTCTTGTATCCATAAATAAAATAAATCTTAAAAAAAAAAAAGAAAACTAAACCAGCAGGGCAGAAATTGGTGATCTATACTAGTCACAGGAGCAAGCAAGCCATGTATATAATTAAAAATTTTCCAGTAACTTCTTTTAAAAGGATAAGGAAAATTAGTGAAATAATGGGTTCACACATGTACCCTTAAATTTAAAAAATACGTTTAGTTTTTGTAAAATATGTTTCTAATATTTGTAATGTAAATATTCATTAACAGAATGGCACCAGCTTTGCAGATAACATCTACTTCACATATTGGTCTAATAGTATATTTTTTGAAAGAATCTATAAAAATATTTTAACATCAAATTGACATAAAAGTATTAATGAGAAATTTTATAGTCTTTGTTTCATGCTATATTTTTGAAATCTAGAGTTTTATTCTGACAGCACATTTCAATTTGGATTAACCATATTTTAAGTGTTCAATGGTCACATCTGCCTAATGGCTACCACGAGTCTATACAATGCAGTCAGTTACAGATGGATGAAAAATCTGAGTTCATCCTCTGGTCAGTTAAAACTTTCATTTTTCTCTGAAAAGATTCTACATACATAGACAGCTGAGTAGGTCAAGTGTAACTTTCATTTTCTCTAACTGAAAAATCAATGAGAGCAAGGAATAGAGGAAAGTGTTAAAATTTCCATGAATGTTGAAAAGATTATTTGGTTAGGAGATTCATTTATTTAACTTGAGTTGAGAAAAACTTTTTAAATTGTCAATATTCTAGTTAATCAAGATCCTATAGCCAGACCATCAGCACCTTCTCTTTCTGGGAAAAGGCAATTTCCTTTTCCTGGATTAATTGGGGATCCCATGAGACAGAGCCTTAGTCATTGGCTTTTTAAAAGCAGTCTTGGGAATAAAATGCATGTTTTTTGATTAAACTTGAACTTGAGGGTTTGGTCCAGGAAATTGTTCTACTCCCTGATGAACTCTGATGGTAAC